AAACTCCATTGAAAGCTAGCAAAATGCCTTGACAGAAATAAAAGTTAGCCTTTCAAAACTTGAAGAGAGATTTATGGTGTGTGATCATGAAAGAAAAGACCTATTAAAAATAACGAGGAACCAAGAAATAACAATTCAAAGGCTAGAAGACGACAAGAGGATCTATAATTTAAGAATAAAAAACGTAAGCGAAGAAGCAGGAGTAATCACAAATTACAAAGACTATTCACAGAAATAATTAAGCAAAACTTCCCAAGCATAGGAAAAAGACATGATATCCAGATAAATGAGGCATAGAGAACTCCAGCCAACTAACCAAAACAGATCTACACCCAGACATATAATAATCAAGGTTCCAGAAATCTACCACAAGAACAGAATATTAAAAGTGGCCAGAGAAAAGAAGCAGGTCACCTACAAAGGATAAATCATCAAAATAACGACAGACTTATCAACACAAATTATTAAATCTAGAAGAGCCTGGGGGGAAATAGTCCAAGCCCTGAAAGAAAATAATCTGCAACCAAGACTGATGTACCCAGAAAAACTCTCTCTCAAAATTAATGGAGAAACAAGATGTTTCCAAGACAAAGAGGAACTGTGGGAGTTCATGGCCACCAACCCAACACTACAGAAAATACTGAAGGATATTCTAGAGAGAGAGAGTAAAAAGTACCAGGATTCCAGCAACAGTGGCAGAGAGGCCTCAATGAACAAGGAGGACAGTGGAATTAAGGAGAAAAGTGGACAAATAATAGCAGAAAAATAGAATAGCAGAGTTGAGGCAGAGAAAGTGGGCTATAATTTTTAACAAGGATAGCCTAGATATACTAACAAAAAGAAACACAGGCAGAGTAGATTAGGAGGCAGGATCCATAAAGATGCTCTGAATAGGAAATATACTCAAACTGAAAGAGGGTTAATAAACTGAAAGTCAAAGATGAGAAAACAAAGCTCTCAGTGACAGAACCAGAGAGAAATAGGGACAACTTGTCCAGCAGCCCCAGATAGGTTGGAAAGTTATGACACTTTTGTGCAGCTAGAAGGAAAACCTTGTGGCTTTAGTAAGTAAGAGTACAGCACAAGATCAAGCTCAGGTGTAAAAAGGTTCAGATAGATAATCAGTTGCCCCCTTAATCTAAAAACTAAAGGAGTTAGTGGGATCCAAAATATACAAAGCATCCTGAGAAAGGGAAAGGTTGCCTTAAATTGCCTTAAAAAGGAAGACAGAGGACATTGTTAATAGTGTATCAGGACTTAAAAGCCACAGTAATCTTATCGCTCTGCTTACTTCGATTTTATTTTGTCTAGTATGAGTCAGTCTACTCATACTAGATTTGAGGGCATAGGTAGCTATCCCCAAAATAGCAAGCTATACCACGGTAACTATCCTTAATTTCCTATTAACTTAAACTGAAGCCCTGTATTACTTACATTGTCTTACTATGACTGATTTTATTTGAAGCTGGTTTGTTAAACCACTGTTTTGCCTTGACTGATCTTATTCGAATTTGGTATGCTTGATAATATTGAATCTAAGTGTAGAGGCAACCACTCTGAAGATGACAAGATGTAATAACATACCCATTTTGATTTGATTACTGACTGCTTTTGAAGTCCTACAATGTCTCCAATATTGTTTTTATTAAAATAGCTATGTAATGATATGTTCAATTATATTATATCTGATGATGTGGACAGTTCTATTGAAAATAACAAGAGAAAGCATAGTAACTCCTGTAGATCATCTAATATTGTGGTTTTATATGTCTTTTTCACTTCATGTTTTTCTAAGAATTTTTTAGTCTTGTTATGATCTGTTTTTCCCTATAATGCAGAAAGGATAGATATACATGTAGAGATTCACACATGGGGAGAATTTCTAAACAGTTTACAGGAACAGATTATATAATGCACAATGTAATGAACAGATACTCTGAAGAAGAGACACTACGAAACCCAATGCTAATTCTGTAACATTATGATATAAAACCTAGCAAAACTATTATTCACTGTTCAGAGTGATATTAGTCTAGTCTCTTACGTTCAATTTCAGCATAAGTAAAGATAAAGACAGCTGCTATGAAGAGAATGAGGGACATTGTGGCAGTCACTATTGACTCCCCAATGTCAGGTCTTGAAGACCTAAAAAGCTTTCCTCACTCTGTTATGATCATATTAGTTCTATAATGTTCAGTATGTATTCAGTGTGTGTGAAGATAGGGACAACTATTTGGAAGAAAACTAGAGACAATAAGACAGACAGTGAAGATCTCCAGTGGACTTGCTTTGATATCAGTGTTTGTTAAAAGTGTTTCCTTATGATTTGTTTTGTTCTGTTTTGGTATGTTTAATCTTACCCTCTTTAAGATATGGGCAATTCTTTTGAAGATAGCAAAAGGCATTATAGTAGCCATTGTTGATCACCTTGTATTTTGTTTTTACATCATATACTATGTCTATCCTTGTTTTAACTGACTCCATTTTGCTTTGTCACATTTGGTTTTATTCTCTTCAAACAAAGTAATAAGAACTGTAGGAGTAATAAAACCTAAAATGTGTAATTGTTATTATAAAAAAGAGGAAAAGAAAGTGCTCTAAAGGATATAACGGCATGTATGTTTAAGTGTGTAAAACAGGTAACCATATTACTAAGTTTTTGTTGGATCATTGAACAGAACTGTTCGCAGTCTCACTGTTTAAATGTCCACTTTGTATGCTTTAATTTTGTAACTTGAATAGCGACTTCTAAAATGACAATATGTAACCTATCAACTAGTGATTTCTTACTTTTTTTTGGAATTCTGTATTACTTCTACCCTCTTTTGTTTTGCTTTTTTTTCTCTTTAAATAAAATCCTTTATTAAAAAAAAAAAAAGAGGAGCCCACAGGATTATGAAGTCTGGGAGCCCTGCAGTTCACCATCCACAAGCTGGAGCCTAAGGGAAGTGGTGCTGCACCTCAGTGAAGCCGCGAAGACCCAGGATCCACAGGGTCAATGGCAAAGGCTGGGAAGACTCTGAAGGCTCCTGCATCACCAACATCAGCATCAGAGAGCAAACACTGCCCCAGCCCAGAGACTGGCCCTCTTCTGTCTTTGCATTCTACTAGGACCCTTGACAGGTAGGATGACACCCATCCAAGTCAGCTGGGGAGTCCTGTCCACTTACTTTGCTGAATCAGAAGCTCATCACTCAGAAACACCACCATAACTGACTCTCCCACTAGTAACGCTTTACGGCTAACATATTACGTTAATTGTCTCATCTCTAAAACTTGGGGGTTTCCCAGAGATACCTCTGTTACTAATTTTTAATTCCACTGTGGCAGAACATAGCTTGTTTGACCTAAGTCATTTTGAATTTACTGCACTTGTTATACGACCAGAAATTGATCCTATCTTGGTAAATGATCTGTGTGCACTTGAAAAATTATTATTCAGCTGCTATTAGGTAACATATTCCCTAAATGTCAACTAGGTCACCTTGGTTGACAGTGTTGTACAAAAGTCTTCAATATTTTTTTGTCAATCTATTCTAGAAATCTACACAAAAAATTTCTACACTTGAGTGAATTTATTGATCAGTATTAATACATGAAAATCAATTGCACATTTATATCCTAGAAACAAACACTTGGAAATTCAGAAGGAGAAACTTGCTACATAGTAAAATAAATAAATAAAATTCAGACTTGGACTTTCTTTGAAAAAAGTTCAGAGGTCTGGGGGAAAAGGAGAATCTTAACAAGCTTGCAGTAATCTATTGCTAAAACAAAGGATGCTCCTACTTTTGGTTTGCTTTTTGCAGTGCTGCAGATGGAACCCAGAGCTCTGCACATGCTAGGCAACCGTACCGCTGAGCTAAACTCCCAACCCACAGACATTTCCTAGGATCACAGGGCTCAGGAAAAATAAAACATGGTTGGCAGGTGAGAAAGCACTGAGCACAAGGGCAAAAACTGTGACAACACAGGATGTGTGTGGTATTATTTGCGCATCTCGAGTGCAAGATGTAACAGGTGAGGCTAAAAACAATGGCTGTACTCATCTGAACACCCGTATGCCAGGCCATCAGGGACAGGCCAGGCAAGGCCACGGGGCCACAGTGCCTCCACACAGCTGCGGGTCCAGCAGCCCTGAGCCTTCTTCTAGTTGGGCCCCCACTGCCATCTCCTGAGGCTGGCACCCACTGCTGCTCAGACTTGGAACCTGTCCTGAGGTCAGCTCAGAGAACAGGAATGTGGGTCTTGCTTAAAACCCTAACAACCAAAAAAAAAACCCTAAAAACCCTGGTGAGGCTTGTGGCTGTTTCCTAGAGCAACAGTCTCAGGGTGCTGGTACCCACCGTGCAGAAATGGGCTGCTGGAGAGCAGTGGACGGGAAGGGACCCCACCAATTCTGGAGCTTTGATAGTACAGGCTTCTGCCCTCATTAGAGGGAGCAGCCTTCTCACAGCAGCCACTTCGCCAGGCACACGCCTGCCCTTCCCTGAGCAATCCGCCTCCCTGACTGTCTGAAACACCTTTTCTTCCATGGGAGGAACATGAATGAAGCCCAAAGATACCATTCAAGATAAAAGAACTATTAGAAGAGGGACCAGCCTCCCAGCAATATCTAAATGACATTTCTCAGGAGAAATAGAGATGGTTCCCTCAGAGATAGGCCAACAGGAATTGGATGCAGGAGGTGAGGAGGTGATGGCTTTTAAGTGATTTGGAGGGCCTCCATGTTGGGGACCAGTTTGTAAGGAACAGGAAAACAAGGAAGCTGGAAGGATGGGAGTGCCAATCTGAATCCACCAGAACTAACTGTGAACAGGGACCAGTGCAAAGGGCACAAGCAACCCTCACCCAGATCCCATCTCCGAGATCTCAAGGCTGTCCCCCACACTCACCTTCACCCTGCCCCACGGCCCGCTGCACAGCGCAGCCTTGACGGAGTGGTCACAGACACAGCCCAAACCCTCAACGGGCTTAAAACCACGGAACTGCAGCGGGCCAACTGTTTCATTTCTGTTTATTCAGCAGAACATCAAGATAAATATGCCTTAAATGGCACAACTTTTTCTATATATGAATGACCTACTGTCTATAAAGTCCGAGAATCCAAAAATAGTCTTCTTTCCTTTTTGAAGCCCTGGGTGATCCACCAGATCTCTGAGAAGTTTTGGTTACACAGCCAAGACAGGCGTGTGGACCAGCACGGACCAGACGGTGGGAAGCATAGAGGTGCGGAAGAGAATGCTGTGTGCAAAAGACCTTGTAACGCCACGGTCAGTCCTGCACACCCCAGCATTACTTCCTAAAGCGCTTGAAGAGCGGGTGCACATGCTTGGTGGAAGGTTTGCTCCGTGACGAATGGTACTCCATGTATACAGTGTCGTCTGCCCCAGACATGGAGCTCATGGTGCCAAAGCGCCGGGACGCCTGCAGAGGAGGGAACGGCCCAGCCCTCAGTTAGTCTCACAGAGGGAAGCTTGTAAGATACATAATAAAATTCATATATTTTTGTTATTTTCAAGCAACATTCACTAATACTGTGTCTGAGGCATTGTTCTAAATATTGTGAATGCATTACCTCATCTAATTCTTACAACCATTATAATTCTCACCCTATACACCGAGAAACCAAGACATAAAGAGACTAAAACAGTCAGGAGGTCAGGGATATAGCTCAGCAGCAATGGCTCCTGCCTGGCAAGCGTGAGGTCCTTTGTTGGATGCCTGATTCCACTTGATCTTAGCCAAAAGGCAGAGAAGCAATTTGATTCCCAGTTCCAAAAATTAAATAAATAAATAAATACAATTATCCAAGATCATACAGCTCAAAGGAAACAGGACTTGAACATAAGCAGTCTGGATTATGACTCAAGAGTTCTCTTATTTGTTTTTTGAGATGGGTCTCACTATGTAGTTCAGCCTGGCCTTGAACTCACTATGTAGACCAGGCTAGGCTCAAACTCATACCAACCCTACTGCCTCAGCCTCCAGAGTGTTGAGATAACAGGCATGCACCAACCATGCCCAGCGTCAAGACTCAGAGTTCTTAACCAAAATGCTACACTATCTATTTTAGTGACAATTTCTGAAGTTTTTTAACAGTGCAAAAGTCCCTTAAAATTTCCAAGATACCACATAATATGCTTTAAATCCATGGGAAAGCCAGAAAGCCCCAGGGTTAAGCTGGGCACAGTAGAATGCAACTATAGTCCCAGCTACTCTGAAGGCAGAGGTGTGAGGATCCTTTTACTCCGGGAGTTTAAGGCCAGGCAGGGTAACACAATGAGACCAAACTCAAAAAATAAAAAAGCAAGTCCTGGGCTTGAGACCTGGCTCCACTGCTTACAGGGAGACCTGGTTAAACACTGAACGTCTTCCCCAATAAACGACTCTGTCAAATGGAGATAACTACAGCTGCAGTGACAGATGGGTGTGAACAGAGATCATGTTTGGCCCAAGCCCGGAACATGACTAACAACAGTTCACAGGGGAAGTATGTGGGCAACAGTAGTGCTGTGCCTGCCACAGCCTCATCTTGTGGGCTAGGACTAACTGAACAGCACCATAGGGCCAGTGGCTGCAGCAAGCTTCCTGGGCTTGAGAGCAGATCACTTCCTGCAGGCAGGAGGAAGGCCTCAGGCTGGAGGAAGGACTGTGCCTACCCAGGCAACAGCTGCTTCCTCCTTGTCTTCTTTGGGCCTCTGCTCACCTTCCGGCTTTGCTACCAACTATACTCAAAAGCATGTGATAAACTGCCCCTTTCTCTGAAGGACCTGGTGAGAATGCCCTGTAACAAAGCTCTTTCATCACATACATTCCATCTGCCTGCAATAGGGTAGGCACTCAGTAAGCATAAATGAAAGGCTAAGTATCTTAGAGAACTACACATTTTTCAAAATAAATACTGAAGATACTACACAAGTTAATCCTCAGAACCATCTTATAGGCTGGAAGGCTGTTTTATCACTGAGGGAAGAAGCTGAGGCGAGCTGAATGCCCAAGCCCAGCAACAGCAGCTAGCAGCCTGTCACCCACTGCTGCACCCAGCAGCCTGCTGGACAAAACTTACAATCTCATGTTTGTTCTTCTGGGTTTCAACATCAGGACCTAACAAACACTCATTCCAGACAGTGATATAGACAAGCAGTCACTGTGAGGCCAGCTAAGTCCAAAAACACATATGTAAGGAACAAGGTTGTCGGGGTTGTTACTATTATTCTCTTCACATTTTCCTGCTTTCCAAAGCCCCTGAGTTCACACGCACACCGGGCTCCATGCACATGTGCACGCATCTCAGGGGCTGTCCTTCAGAGCAGTAACACCTGCAGTTAACACTTACTCACCTGGCTGGATCTGGAGCCAAACTCTCCTGCCACCACCTCCTCCTCTGCATCCAGGTCAGTGGCCGCCAGGACTTTCTGTAGGAGCTGCTGCTGCTCCTCTTTTGTGGAAAATGCTAACTCTTCCTCCTCCATGCCAGCAAGCTTTGTGATTACCTGCAAATCCAACAGCAGCTTTGGATCTCTCTGTGCTCCCCTGGCCTGGCTCTTCCCAGGGCTATTCATTCTGCTCACTTCCTCCCCAACTAGCCAGGGTCCAACAACACAACACTCCTCTCTGGCATCCAGGGACCAGCTCTGAGAGCCGCCTATAACGGGCTGGCCTAATGACGGATGAGAGAACCTGGAGGGTTCTATTCCCTGCACACAGCAGGTCCTGTGCAGAAGACTCACAGGAACCTCTGTGACTGTCAAACACTATGCTGTTTTCCTGTCTTACCCTAGGTAAGGGCAGAGAAACAGAAGGAAAGACACAGCTGTACCCTTGCATAAGGACGCTTCACCACACTGTACTTGGACCTGTGCTTCGAGTGGGAGCAAACACAGAACAATGGCAGGCTGGCAAGAATTACCAGCTGGATTCTCTCCAGAAGAGCACAGAGAGGGCTGGGTTTTCATATGTATAGGGCTCATTGACTGTAAGGCCTGCCTACCCCTGCAGGAAGCCAGTCTGCCTCTATTCTCCTCATGATGTTAACTGAAAGAAAATGTCAAAGGGAAGGATGTGATGAGTCCTTCAGGTGACCTGATATCCAGAGTGCAGACAACAGGACCAGCCTGCCAGGCTCGACCTCTCCAGGTTACCACTCTCAGACCTGCTGGCTGCTCAGGTGTGCTCCTCCCTCGGCTGGCCCTCTGGCAAGGTCAGAATGCTGTGCCGCTCTTCTGTTACCCTTCAGTTCCGCCCTCAGAACAGACTCATGCAGACGGATAAGGAGTCACAGTGCAAGCCCTCTAAAACCCCAGCATCTTGTCCACTAGCCCAGCCCGAGAGGGCTGAAAAGTGTTACTGTCTCTGACTAGAAGGATTCAGGCCCGAGGACCCTGTCCTCTGTCTCAGGCTACTAATGGAAATGTCCAGCAATTTCTAAAGAGACGTAACTGAGGGTTGCAGGCACAGCTTGGTGGCAGAATGGAAGAGTCTTGGGTTCCACCCCCAACATCTGAAAAGGTGGCCTTTTTTGCCAAGCAAGATGTTCTAGCAACATCCTCAGTGAAGCACAGATGGAATTTTCTTCCAACAGGAAAGCAAGTGCCCCCCAGAGATGTTGGGAGGGAAGGGGCAGTAGACAGAATGAAGGTCTGTCATGTACCTGTGCCAATTCCCTGTGATGAACGTCATGATTACGTACTGCAAATATGCACTAATACAAATTTTTAAAAGTAAATGCCTTAGGCAATGAATATCAGCCAAAGTTTGAGAACTCCCAAGTTTTCAGAGCCTGGTTTGCAGCACAGGACAGGCCTGGGTCTGGGCCGCACACTCAGGCACAGTCAGTGGTGTCCCAAAAATGGAACCCTGAGGGCTCAGACCCGCAGTTCTGGCAACAGGCCTTTAGCATCTCAGTCCTGCCAGGCCAGCATACCACTCACTAGTAACTCATGCTGTCCCTGGCAATGCATGGAGAGACAAAGGAGGCTGATACTTGGTCTCTGACTCCCAAATGCTTTGTGCCTGCTGAGGCTTGTTCCAGGCTGGACCCGCTTCTCGTGCAGGGCTATACCAAAAAGGCCACGAGGACACTTACCTTAAAGCTATAACCCTGATCGACCAAGAATCTCTGTCGCTTGGTGGAGTAAGCCATTTCCTGTGTGTCCTGGGACACCAGCGAGTAGAAAAAGGCATTGTACTCCTCTGCAACCATCCCTGTGGGAGAAGGCAGGGGAAAATGACATTAGCCACAAGAGGTCAGGAGTCTTGGGTCTCAGGCTCGAAGGCAGCACTGGAGTAAGGAAGCTCTGCGGGCAGGGCATGATCACCCTGATTTTCAATAAAGCCTTTCGTGCTTTAAAGAACACCAACAAGGAAGCAAAGAGACCATCCACAGAACCAGAAAACATGACCAGCAAAGCACATCTGACAAGGGACTGGACTGGTGTCTAGAATAGACCACAGACTGCTGGGACTGAACAAGACAAATAACTTGATTATAAAACAGGCACAGATCTGAACAGATGTTTCTTCAAGGGCCACATGAGCCACTCATCATCAACAGCATTAGGGTCACTGAGGAAATGCAAACCAAAACCACAATGAGCCAACAGCTGGCTCCGCCAGACAGGGAATCAGCGAGAATCACAACCAGTGTCAAACTGGGAGACAAGCGCAGTCTCACACCCTGCTGGTAAGAATACAGGACGGGGCAGCTGCTCTGGAACAGAGCCTGCCAGCTCCTCAGATGCTAAATCTGACAGTCACTCCCATACCATCCAGCAACCCCATTCCTAGGGATTCCTCCAGAGAACAGAAAACATCCACACAAAGACCTGAACATGAACCTCACAGCACCAGCACCCAAGAGCTAAAACAGCAGAAACAACCCAAGCACTCATCACCAGAGAAAGGGACAACTAAAATGCAACATCTTCATCAAGTGGATTATCTGGCAATAAAAATGAAATACCAATAACAAATGGATAGTCCTTTTGAAAACATACTAAATGGAATAAAAGTCCCAGAATATGGCTGCATTTATATGAAACATTCACAGCAGACACAAAGAGACAAAAGCAATTTAGTGGCTGGGAACAAGGGGCAATGAAGGCTAGACATGATGATGCATGCCTATAGTCCCAGCACTTGGAAGGCTGAGGCAGGAGGATCACTTCAAGTTTGAGGCCAGCTTGGGCTACAATGTGAGTTTAAGGCCAGCCTGAATTACACAGGGAAACCCTGTCTCAAAAAGAAAAGAAAAACAAAAACCACTAAGGATATACTTTACATAGATTACAGATATTTTTAAAAAATGAAGACAGAATTATTACAGAAAATATTTCAGGCTGAAACACTTGATCCTTCAGGAAAATTCAAGCATCTCTGCTCTTCAGTTTAAATGTCAGCAGGTTAAGCATTTAAAATTGCCCTGGAGTTCAACTGTTTATTTTACACAAGCTCAAAGATGCATAAAGAGCCCAGATATCTTATTCAAACAGTATTTTCACTAAGAAAATATAATTATAATCAAAGGCAAATGAGTTTTTAAACTAGCTTTGCTTCTTTCTCCTGTGGAGAGGAGTATGGAATAAGTAATAAATTACTTTCACATTTGCTAACACACTGCCTTTCTTGTCAATTTATAAAAGTTGGTCTATCCAGCAGCCAACTGCCTTCTATATTATTTATATTAGTGAAAGCCTGTCTTCATTATTTTTCTCACTGTTGAGACAAAATACCTGACCCCAAAAGGTTTATTAGTTAACAGTTTGTGGAGGTTTCAGTCCATAATCAGCTGGCTCTGAGCCAGGGTGGCACATGGTAGAGGGGCAACAGTTCATGGCAGTGGAAGCAACAAGCGAGGAGAGAGGGAGACAGACCTTTTTCTGTCTTTATAATGTATGTAGGCTACCTGCCCTGGGGTGGAGTAGCACTCACATCCTAATCCCAGCAATGGACCGTGAATCAGTCACAAACTCTAGATTCAGCTGCCTCTGAAGAGCCCACCTCCATGGTCACATGAGGCTTTGTGAGGACATCTAGACACAAACTGTAACAAAGCCTCACTATATAGTGTAGGCTGGTCTTAAACTCCAACTGGCCTTAAACTTAGCAATCCTCTTGCCTCAGCCGTCCAAGTGCTGGGATTTACAGGCATGCACCACCACATCCAAATATAAACTCATTCTTGTAAAAGTTCTGCGAGATAGGCCTGTCACTCTCACTTTGGGTGGGACCAAAGCCTAAAAGACAGGTAACTTGCCAAAGGTTACACATTTAATCTGGTGCCCAAGCCCATGCTATTTGAATTATCAGCCCTTTCTCCATGTTAACTGTAATCAATAAGCTGCCTCTTGAACATATCTGAATAAGGTACCCCACTAATCTTGCCATTTTCAAACATCCTAGCAGTCCAGATGCCTCCTGGTGCAATAATCAAATGTCCTGAGGACAGGCCTGTGTCTTGCCAAAGATGTGACCATTTCTCCATCTCTCCACAGCACGCCAGTCACTGCCAGCCCCATGGGGGGGCCCAGGGTCCCTTTTACTGAAGTCAAAACACAAGCAGCTTGTACTTCCTCCATAGGAGCCCTGGCAGCAGGGTCATCCTCCACACTCCTCCTTCTGTGAGCCTACCCAACCCTGTTGCTGGTGGCACCCAGGAAATGTGAGTTATGAGCAGTGTACCCATTCTGTGCTGGTCACATACCCATGACTGCCTCCTTTCCTCCTGGCTGGAGAGCTTGACACCACCACATCCACCAAGGTCTTTCCCTGTCCCTCTCAGTGAGTACTGTGGCTCCAGCTGCACAGAGGGGGATCTTCCCTCTGGACATCCCTGTGGCTCCGTAGCTTGGCCTGACACCCTCAGCAGCAGAGGAAGATGTTTTACCTTTTTTGGCTCTGAGCACTCGCCCTAGCCTCTGGGCCTCCTGTCGCCTGGAGCCACCATGAGAGGAGATCTGAATGAGGACGTTTGCTTCTGGCAGATCAAATGATGTGTCACCTACCTATAAGGAAAAAAAAAAAATCAAAATTCAAAAAAGTACATTTTTATTTATTTTTGCAGTGCTGGATGTAGAACCCAGGGCCTTGGACATGCAAGGCACACACTCCACCACTGAGCTACCTCCCTAGCCCTGGCCTAAATTTAGATCAGCTCTGTAGATAAGTTAGAAAGATACTTCTCTCTACACCAAGATCTTTCTGCAGCAGACAGATCTCGACAGGTTTCCTCAGACCCAGAGTGAGTCTAAGAGCTTGAATCACATCATCGCTGATGCAGACACGCCTGCAATCACCTTTTACGTTTGGCTAGAGAAACAGGTCTGTACAAAACCACCTGTCCTCTTATCCAGTGACTACTGAGGCCAAGAGCAGTACATGTAAGACAGACATCATGATCTGGGCCACCACCCACAAGGAGTCCTGAGAGCAAGGTGCTCCCCAGCGTGAGGGTCCAGCCATGTCACCTGATAGAGAAATCTTACTGCTTTGCGCCTTAGGGATGCCTTCTAAACATCAAGCCACATCAGGCAGAGGAAAGCCACTTCCCAGCTGGACTGCCTCTGCTAAGGGAGCCTAGGGACCTCATAGAGGCAGCTCCAGCTCCAACAGAGAGTCTCATCTAAATTCCCATTTCCAACTACCCTAGGGCACCAGCCCTGACCCCCAGCCCAACATCTGGACACGCAGGAATGAAAATGCACATGCTAAGCTCCCTTAACCAACATCAACTTACTGCCCAGGAATCAGTGTATCCCAGACTCTCATGGTGCTACACACCTGACCCCCACCCCCAGGCCACACAGACCTTGGATATGAAGATGGTGTTGATTTTGGGGTTGTGCTTGAAATTTTGGAGAATTTGCATCCTTTCTCCCTGGGATGTAGGCCCATAGATATAGGGTCTGGAGAAAAAGCACAGAAAGACCACAGATCACCCCTGAAAGCATATTCCAGGAAAATAGGACCCTAAGCAAGGTCCTGTCACACAAGAAGCACTCTGTCAGGCTGGATACCAGAACTGACTCCAGCCTTACCCTACCAGCACCCAATAGCCCTCCTTCTAAGTCCAGACCCACTACTCTCTTTGGGGTCCCCTCCTTTCTTTTTCCATTAGGCTTTTTCCTGCTTCAACACCTGTCCTCCAAGATTACAGTCTATACAATGGAGAAGCCTACTTTCATGAAGCCCAAGTAGACGCAGCAAAGATGACATTCTTAGGTCCAGACAAAAGGCTGGCTGCAACCGTCCCCTAATGACACAAGCATCCTCCCACAAACAAGCAGAAAAGGGAAAGGCTGAAGGCCCTCCCATAACATTAAGTTCAAACTCTTCTCTTCCGATTCCACCTCCCTACTAGAGGGCACAAGCCTAGCTGATAACCACACTGACTGATGCCCATACTACCTGGGGAGGGCACAGCTTTGCTTTCTGTCTTGCAGTGTGTTGCTGGCCAGCTTGTGTGACTTCCCAAGATCAGAGCAATCATGATGACAATAATTACAAGCCCAATGAGGACAAGTACCAGATACCCAGGCCTAACTGTGCCAAGGACAGAGCTGGGTGGGTACTACATTAAAAAAAAAAAAAATCCATCCTGTCAGTGTTCCTCAGAATTGTAAAAGGCAGGATCAGGAGCCGAGAGAATGAAAGCCAAATGCAGCTGCCCCCAGCCCAGGCCCAATGGCATCCACAGCAGGGTTCAGGAGGGCTCAGAACACACAGTATTCCCAGTGCTGTACTATAAGATGGTCAGGGCTGCACCTGAGAGTGCAAGCCTTCTGTGGGCAGGCAGGACCTGAGCAGCTGTCCATGCATGCTGGCCTTAGTACCTCCCAGCAAGCAGAGTATCCAGGGCACCACCCCACACAAGCCTGTGCATCTGTGGGTCATGCGGGAAGCAAGCCCGGGAAGCAAGCCTGGGAAGCCCGTCTCCCAACACCGGGGTCTCAGGCGTTCTGTTTCTCCCTCCTCATCAGGAAAAGTCCTTGTACAGAGGCAAGTCCTGTTTCCGAAGGGTTCTCCCACCCGGGAAATGAATAAAAGGGCAACTTTCATCCCCAGGGAAGAGAATCACTGGTGAACCTCTGGGAGAGGGTCTGGGAACTGTGAGTGACCAAGAAGCAGAAGGCTCAGAGTGGCAAACACCCTTCCCAAGGCCCGGTGCTCCACAGAGGGGAAGCCAGGCTCTGACTCCAGTGTGACTCCATCGGCAGCGCCCTGCTCACAGCTCCACATTGTCACTAAGCCTGCGGTCAGTCTTTACTGCAGTGCGTATCAGTGACAGCTGCCTGTTTCTCAGAAGGCTGGGAGGAAATGCACAGCTTCTTCCAACACAGACCATCTATGAGAAGCTACGAAGCAAGGCTTAGGATCCCCATGATCACTTCAGCACCCAATAGCCCTCCTTCTTCAGGAAGAAATAAAAATAAAATACTTTCCACATTTAAAGGACAGGTATAAAAAACAAAGGGTTACCAATAAAAGTTGTAGCCATCATTCTACTACACACGAGACAGCCACAGTCGGCTGCCCTTCCCGGGGTCAGGCTGGCTTGGCGCTGACAGTGCCAGGAAACTAATACCCCACAAGCAGATGCACAGGAGGCTGCAGCCGTGAACACGTGTGTATGAGGAGGGAGCAGCGTGTGTCTCAACTGTTAGGGGGGTGCGAGGAGGGGTTCAGGGAGAATCTGGAGGGAAAGCTGCAAAGGGAGTGGAAAGGGACAATTCCTGTCATGAAAATGTGACAGGAATACATGCACCATCTTGTTGCCTCACTTAAATCCATAAAAATGTGACAGCAAAGGACTAAAAGGACACAAACCTATGAAGAGAACAAGAGACAAGCGTAACAGGTAACATTCTGGAGGATGAAAAGCAGACTGATGTAGGTGCAGTAACTAAGTTAATGGATACAGAAAGCGGCAGCCTGAGCTGGCAGGGGAAAGTCAACACAGAACCCTTTCAAACTGGTCTGCCAGTGCTCTAGGCAGGACACAGAAGGCTGTGGCAACTGGAGCCAGGTGCACTGGAAGGGGAGGGCAGAGGAGTGCCTAGAAGTGTGTATGAGGAGGGAGACCCCTCAGCAGCAGATCTGGCCCGCCCCTCCTGACCGGCAGCTGGAGGGCTCCCTTCCCCTCCAGGTCTGAACAGGGAAGGGCTACAGTCAGGAAGTCAGTGGAGCGGGGACTAATGTGGACACGGAGTGCAGCATGGTGGGGAGGTGTCTCCCGAGGCTAAGCTTCACAGCCCTTCCCTCCCTCCTACATGCTGGCGCCCGAAAGGATGGAAAAGACAAATGCCAGCATCTGGCAATTTCTCAACAAACTACCAAGTGCCAGTCACTTTACAGTGAGCTGCACAAACTGGCAAGCCCACTGAGCAGTACAGAAAAGCCTGTCCATTTTTTAGTGACCGAATCTGAAACATGCAGCTTCAAAGCTAGGCACAGTGGCACACACCTGTGATCCTGGCACTCAGGAGGCTGAGGCAGGAGTACTGCCTCAGTTACACGGTGAACTCAAGGCCAGCCTGAACTGCATAGCAAGACCTTACCTTAGAAAAGATTAAAAAAAGTGCAGCTAAGTATTATCAAACCCCAGAACTTCCAAGACAGGAGTAAAAATCATCAAACCACAACATCTGAAGAAAATACAGTGTAGGAAACTTAAGGAAGCCTCAAAACAGAAGATGAAAGAAAGCACATCATACTCATGCAACAGCAGTGATGAGGCCAGGCAGGGAGGCGCACAGCTGTAATCCCAGCATTGGGGGAGTTTAAGGTGGGAAGGCAAGTTCAAGCCCAGTCCAGGAAATGTGGTAACTTAGCAGGACTCTGTCTCAAAATAAAAAATAAAGAGGGCTGGAGAGGCAGCTCAGTACTCAACAACCGAAGTGTCATTCACTTCCCTACATCATCTTTTTCTTTGGTTTTCTGTTTTTAACCCCTGCTTTTAAAGCCTTTCTGAGTTTTGGTAATCTCCAGTTCAGTAAAGACTCTCAGTTTAATCCCAGTACTGGGGAAAAAAAAAAAAGCAGAAAGATGAGCAGAGGCTGATTTCTATTTGTTCCGTTACACCTACAGGATGAATGAAGTCAAGTCTCCACACAGGACCTGAGCTCTGCCACATACAATCTGAGGCCCTGTCCCAGTGCAAGGCACAGCCCCTCTTGCTCCCCAAGCAGGCAGTTTCTGTAGCCACTCTGTCCAGATGCTGGCCCACACCAGGACACTGGCCCAGCTTACTTTGCCTTCCAGGTCCCCAGGCCATCCTGCCTGAGTTGGAGACCACTATGCAGCGGCTCTGAGCAGGATTTAAATTTTACTAATTGGCTTTCTATGTTTATCTGTGAGTCTGTCTTAGGCCTCAGCTTCTTACCTGGAGAAGGGAGCTGATTCATAGTAAGTGAACCTCTATGAATCACGGGTCCTGGCTGAGGCCTGTAGTGGCCTATGAGGCCAGAGATACCTCAAAGGGCCACAGCTGAAGACACCTTGGCTCCAACACTAATTAAGTAAATAGAGACTGCAGCTGCAGGCCTCTCACTCCTGCAGTTGCACTCCTATCATAAATGTCATCTTGGAGATAGAACAGTTCTCCTAAATCAGCATAATTTACTACTTGGAGAAGTCTTTGAAATGACTCCCAAAGCCTTATTTCCCATGCTTTTCTCAGTTTCCCCGCCTTTTGTCCTTGGTTCTAATAAAAGTGGGCTGGTCCAGAGAAGTCTTAAGTCTTAGCCCTCAGAGTCTCAGGCTTAACTAAAGGGTTTTGACTCTCCTGGAGCCCTAAAATCATGTAACTTGTCTCAATTTATTTAAACCTCCACTCTACATTCGTTTAAGAGAGCAGAGATCTAGGTCAGGACCCAATATGCCTGGACTCCACTCTACCTTCAATCATTCAGCCTCATGATGCCCCTCCCATTACTTTTGGAGCCCAGAACTGAATTCTCACGCCACCCAGCTCAGCTCCCTGTCCTCTGGGCTCATGTGACCAGTCTCTTTTCTATACATTTCAACCGCTGATTCCCACCACCTGCTTCTTGTCTCACCTGGTACCTGAGAATGGGGGCCCAGGACTCAGACCCTCAGATCCCAAGAACTTCCTAAGCATTCCAAGAAAGAAATGGACACCTTGTTCATTCTCAACAGAGACACTACTGGCCTACAGCAACTCTAAATGTTGAATTCTTACTTGTTCAGCCGAATAGCATATTCCTTCAAGGCAAACACATTGTCAGCAAAGACAATAATCTTATCATTCCTTCTTTCATGAAACTTGATCAGAAACTGGCAAGCTCGGAACTTGTTGGGGTTCATGGTATATAGCAAGATTCGTTTCTTGGTTTTGATCGCCACATACTCCCGATAAAACTCAGGCGACATTGGGCACCAAACCTGGGAAGCGTAAGAATCGGGTTATCTCCAAGTTTAAACATCACATGCTTAGAAATTCTGGAAACCCATTCATTTAGCACAACTAGCTTTAAAGTATTTTCAAACAAAACCAATGGTACATGAATTATATCTTAATACACAGTGGATCTCTTCTATCTGTAGTTTCAATCACCCACTGTCAACAGTGGTCTGAAAATGATAAACAGCAAATTTCAGAAATAAAACAATTCCTACATCTGAACTTGTATCCTGCTCTCAGCAGCATAATGCAATCAGATGGAGGTACCGCTTTGTCCAGCACATCCACCTTGTACAATGACCCACCTGCTAAGCATCTGGTAGGCATTATGGCTCTACGATCCACTGTCCAGAGGAAGTAAGCCTGTTCAAGTCATCCTTGTTTTATAAATCATGGCTTCAAGGGACAAGAGCAGCAAAATACAAAATTGGGATACACCAAAGAGAAGTTCTAAAGCACTCCCTTTAAGTGAAAAGGTGCAAGTTCTCACAGAAAAGAACAGAAATTGCATGCTAAGGTTGCTGAGATCTATGGTAAGTACCAACCCCAAATCTGTGAAAATGTGAAGGAAAATGATTCACACTATTCTTCTGTCTTACTTCACACTGCAACAGGTACAGCCATAACACATGGTAAGTGCTTAGGTTAAAATGGAAAAGGCCCTGAATTAGAGAATTTTGTACTATATGAGGTTTCTGGCACCTTTTGGGGGTCTGAAGACAAATGTACTGCAGTTAAAAATAAACTGTAAATACACACATGTACTAAGCCAAATCTAACACCTACCATTCAGTGAGGACATTCTCATATGTTAATCACTTAATTACTGGTCAGAATGATGGCGCACATCTGTAACCCAAACAATCGGAGGCTGAAGCAGGAGGATCATAGCAAGTCTGAGGTCAGACTGCGGTTCATAGTGAGTTTAAGGCCAGTCTGAACCCCAGAGCAAGACTCTGTCTCAAAAACAAAGCCAAAATAAAACAAAACCCAAAAAAACTCAAATGCAATCATATCCAGGAAATTATTTACACTCTAGTTACAAGTAAGAGAAACCAGATTTTCAACCAACAGAGGTGCAACCCCTCCACTATTTTTGTGCATCCATATACAAAAAAGTTAGGAACTGCCCTCTCCTGTCCCAGCCCACTTTCATTTGGAGCCAGAGGACTGCCTCCAGTTTGAGGCCAACTAGGGATATACAATGAGTCTCTGGTCAGCCTGAACCACATATTGAAACCCTACTTCAAAAAAAATAAAAAGCCCTGAGCGGGGGAATATATGTGTATGAGTATATGTGTGTATATGTGTATACACATATACACACATACACACACACATACATATATTCATAGTCTAGGACAAAGCGTAACCATATTATAAATAAATTTCTTATTGTCTGAGAAAAGAATTATAAATATGGAAAGAGAGAAGTCAGAAAAAAACTGTTGTGTTGGATTATATTGAACATATCACCATCAACTCATGATTTTTAATGTGTATAAGCAAATACTGAGACGAGGCTAAAATACCTTATTGTGCCAGACAGACCTCAATGTGGGCCTCTGTCAAATGGACAAGCAGCTAACAGGAAGAGGGCCCAGTGATCACATCTGGAACCCCTGGAGCACCCAGAGATGAACGACACAGCACTCCCAAGGGCTTCTCTGGGCCAGTGCCCACGCCTGTGCTGCTGACAAGTGGAAGGAAGCTCAGACATAAGGCAACTTTGTGGTATTAGAAATGCTCTAAAAGTGAACTGTAGGAATCGTTGGCCTAAAATTACGTAACTGTAAACTTACAATGTATGAATATTATTGTAAATTAAACCCCTACAAAACTGTTTAGAAAACAACATCAGAAAAGACTGTTTTTACTGCCACATAGTACTCCGTCCTAGTCAAACTGTGGCACAGCCACACAACAGAACACTGCACAGGGACTCCCAAGATATTATGCATCCCACAAGGCATAAAACACAGGGAAAAGACAAAAGTTGCAAAAGAACATTCATAATCTTATTCTGCCTACATGATTTCTTTAAAACAGAAACATGTAAACATAGGTAGGTGGTAAAATAATAAAAGCGTGAGACCAGCAAACTCAGGTTCCATGATGGTTGTTACATCGACACATGGAAAGAATACATAGTGGAAGACTGGGAGGTGCCAGCTACACTGCTCTCCAGTGGCTGGCAATTCTGCAGACACAGCTAAAGGGGAAGGGTTTTCTCATTACTGCAAAACTGGACCAGGCTCGTCACTCGCCATTATCAGACAGGCCCTTTCTTGCACTTTCAGGACAAAGGCCACCCTACTCTCACAGCTATTTTAAAGTGTTACAAAGGATTTTTCGGTTGTTCCTTCTAAGGCCTACCTTTGAGTAAGGATTTTTAACATGTGCCTGTTTGGTTATACACTACTGAACAGAATTACGAAAAGGTATTCTTAAAGAGAGAAAACAATCGAGGCCACAATTCACCTTCTGCGGCTCCAACATTGGAAGCGGCCTCAGGGCTACCGACAAGTCACTCCCCAGGGATGTGTGGACAGACCACCCCAGGAGCTCACGGACAGGATGAGGTGGCCTGCCTCAGCATCGACTTCACTGACTGCCACCAGAGACAAGGGCTCTTCCTGCACTCATCTAGGAAGTGGGTGTGACACTGCCCCCTACAGATTACTAAGCACCTTGCAGGAGGCAAGGGTAGGGTAGCCAGGGCCCTGACCCGGGTCCATGGCAGAAGCCCGTCTCAGATGTCCACCCAGGCAGGCCCAGCTACCTCAGCACACTGGACTTTTGCAATGTAGCCATTGTTCTGCAGCTCCATCCAGTTGGCTTCATAGAGTTTGGGCCCAATCAAAAAATTTAAGTCGACAATTTTGTCATCTTCCCGGACAAGGGTTGCAGTCAAACCCAGCTTGCAGTGGGCCTGCACGATGGTGAGCACCCGTCGGAACATCTTGGCTGGAGAATGATAGGAGGCATCAGTTACAAACACTTGAGCACCACACAGAGCCTGACATTTTCCATCTCTTTTGCCCACTTTCTGACATTCCAGCCTCTGCCAAATATGTAACAGCAGGAATCACCATCTAAAGCCACACGTGTGACAGTCTCTTCCCTAACTTTCCCGTCAGTGAACACCTATATCATGCCTCCTCTGCACACACCAAAGCCAGAGGCATCTTTTCATGTGTAGGCTCAGGTAAGCTTCTATTCTGCCCCTAGATGGCTTCCGACTCCTGCCCTGTAACAATAAGAAAGATGGAAAGAGAAAAAAACCTTCCATTTTCTAAATGACTACTCTGGGCCAGGGATTAAGGAAGATGTGAATGTGTAACCCACTCCCCACTCCCATGCTTAAAAATCCTTTAAAGGTTTTACCCAGCAAGCATTTCTAGCCAGCGGAGTGGACTACTCAGCAGCTCCTCCTCTAATCCAGCAACTAGAAATCGATGTTCATTCCTACAAGGGCAGGCAGCATGGTTTTGGGCTGCTCACCTGGAATGGTATGCACCTCGTCAAGGATCATAAGGCCCCACTCCTGGGTTTTGAGCCACTCCATGACTCGTTCAGCCTCCCAGGACCTCTTGGTGGTGTGGCCCAGCATGGAATAAGTGCTGATAGCAATGGAGCAGCCTATGGGCTTGTCCTTGGCATCCGAAGTGAAGCGGCATATCTGGCTGTCATCGATGGTGGACCACATCTTGAACTGGGCTTTCCACTGCTCCACAGACACAGCTGAGTTGCCCAGCACCAGACAGCGTTTCCTGACTGTGCATGCAGCAGTCACACCAACCAAGGACTTCCCAGCACCTGTGAGAAACCAAGGGGAGAGCCAAATCCTCCAGGGAGAAACAAAGGGCAGGACAGGACAGGCAGAGGACCAGGAACCTTGGCCAACTTCTCATCCCCATCTGTAAAGGGTTCACTGCTGTAGCCTGGTGTGCTCTTTAAACACACAAAAGGTCCACGTTCCACATATGTGAGCATCATCAGGTACAGGTCTTATGTGCATACTGTTTTAAATGGTGCAATCTCAAAACCAGCCAGGGAAAAGAGACATCATTACCAACATCTTACAGATAGGAAAATGAGAGAAAGAACCCAGCCAGGCTTGATGGTACACACCTGTAACTCCAACAGGCTGGTGTTTAGTGAGACCCTATTTCAAAATAAAAAATTAAAAGGGCTGGGAATGTAGCTCAGTGTAAAGACCCTAGATTCAGTCCCTAGTATTGAAAAATAACAATCAGAGAAGAGAACCACCTTGTCAGGGCTGAAAGACACTAGTGCAGTGCACAGGACACAAAATGCACATCCTACAAAGGACTCAGCAAGTGACAACTGTTAATTACACATAGCACACAGTGCTCAGAATGCACTATGTATGCACAATGATTGCAAAGACAGAAAAAATAAAATTCCAGGAGCTTCCAAGTTCACCACTCTCCCTGAAGATTGTGATAAAAATCGAACCAATCCCTTTATCATCTCCTCCTTTACCATCAATACAACCTGTGAAGCTTTACAAAACCAATGAGCTGGGCTGGGGATTGAGCTCAGCTGTGTAAGTGCCTGTCTGGCAAGTGTGAAGTCCTGAGTTCCATCCCTGGTACCAAAAAACAAACAAACAAAAAAGCCAAATGAGCTGGATATGGTAGCACAATACATGTAATCCCAGCATTAGGGAGGCTGAGGCAGGACTGCAGCAAGTTCCAGATCAGCCTGGATTGCATGGTGAGTTCAAAGCCAGCCTGAACATCAAGTCTAAGAGTAGAGGCAATTACTCTGAAGATAACAACATGTTATAAGATACCCATTCCAGTTTGATTATTTACTGCTTTTGAAGTCCTACAATGTCTTTAATGCTGCGTTTTTATTAAAATAGCTATGCAATGCTATGTTCAATTATATTATGTCTGATAATATAGACAATTCTATTGAAAATAACAAGAGAAAATAACAAGAGAAAGCATAGTAACTACTGTAGATCACCTAATATTGTGGTTTTATATGTCTTTTTCACTTCATGTTTTTCTAGGAATTTATTTTGTAGTCTTATTTTGATATGTTTTTCCCTATAATACAGAAAGGATAGATATACATGTAGAGATTCACACATGTGGAGAATTTCTAAACAGTTTACGGGAACAGATTATATAATGCATGATGTAATGAACAGATACTCTGAAGAAGAAGAAACACTGAGATACCCAGTGCTAAGTCTGTAGCATTATGGGGGCTGGAGATTTAGCTCAGCGGCATAAGCGCCTGCCTTGTAAGCAGGCAGTCATGAGTTCGATCCCTGGTACCAATAAAAAGGAAAAAGGCAAAAAAAAAAAAAAAAAAAAGTCTGTAGCATTATGATACAAAACCTAGCAATACTATTATTCACTGTTCAGAGGGATATTGGTCTAGTCTCTTATGTTCAGTTTTAGCATACATAAAGATAATGACAGCTACTTCGAAGAGAATGAAAGACATTATAGCAGCCATTATTGACTTCCCTAATGTCAAATCTTGAAGACCTAAAAAGCCTTCATCAGCCTGTTCTGATTAGATTATTACTATAATGTTCAGTATACATTCACTGTGTGTGAAGATGGGGACAACTATTTGGAAGAAAACTAGAGACAATAGGATAGACAGTGAAGATCTCCAGTGGACTTGCTTTGAAATCCGTGTTTCTTAAAATTGTTTCCTTATGATCTGTTTTCTTCTGTTTTGTTAACTCTTTAAAATAAAACAAAGTAGTTTATACAGAAAAAAAAAAAAAAAAAAAAGCCAGCCTGAAACACACAGTAAAGCCTTGTCTTAAAAGACCAAAAAATAAAAACCAAGAAGCTGCAGGCAGAGACTCATCCCTGGAGACTCTGTCTAGGTGGGGTGCCTGGGCGGAGATGTTGTGACCTCAAGCTGAGAAGCCCTGCTGACATTACTTTTGACAAGTAAGGTCAAAAAGGTGTCATAAGACTGCTTGTCAGCCTTGCACCTCATCATGAGCCATCCAGGAACAAGCTAGGAAGCCTCTACATCAATGCCTCATGAGGCTAATTTCACAGAAGGAGAAGCTAACCCTCTCACAACCTTGCTGACAATACTGTCTCACCTTGTATCCACTCTAGTTTTCTTCTATCACTACACAAAATTTAGCTGTTTTCTCAGCCAATCTGTTTACTACTAGTCTCTCCCCAGGTGAATGAGCTCCTGTGCCCTGCGATACAATGAGCTTACTGCAGCCCATGTATCACAGGCATGTCGCCACGGGCCTTGGCAGAGGCCTCATACAGCAAGCACTCAATATATATCTGTCAAGAGAAAGTCTGCCCCAATAGCATAGTCATGTAACCCCAGTACTAAAGACATGAGTTAAGCAATTACCTGACCTTGGGCATTCACTGGTAAGGTGCAATTTAGGGAAAGTAGCAGAGGGAAAGGAAGAGACAACTGGTAAACCAAACACAGCAACCAGGCAACCGTCTTCATTCATGCTCCACGTACCACAAGGAAGCACAATGACACCAGAACGTGCACGCCCATTCCCAAACATCTTCCGCAGACTCTTCTCCTGATAGGGCCTGAGGACGGCTGTGGGTTTCAGATCGATGTTGATATCAGGGTTGACAGAATCATTCCGGAAGTCATATTCTGCCAACAATGGGTACTCTAGGTGGATGCAACGTTTCTGGAGTTCCTCAATCATTTCCTGGGGAGATAGGCAGCACAAAGAAAGTTTCACAATCTTATCAATGCCCAAGTGTGCTCAAAAACAGTGAGTACTCTATCAATGATCAAAAAACTGGGCTTCCTCTTGGCAGTCAGCACAAGCAGAGACATGCAGCCAGGTAAGCCCTGTGCACCCACAGGCCCCCCTTGTTTCCTTCAGGCAGTCATCACCCACCAGAAGAATCAGAAAAACACACTCCTGTATACCTACTACCATTGGAGCCCCAGTATAGGCACACAGGCTGAGAGAAGCAGCCCTACCATCATACACCTCTGTCTATCAGGGAGGCCCCAGTGTAGCTGCATGGGTCTGAAAAAGCCCACCCCATGCCCTGCCACCTCCCAGTAAATCTGGGGTCAGAGCAACCCAGGTGCTGGTTCCCATTCCCCTATATCACAAAGAAGCAGCCAACATGGGAAGTGCCTGGGACCCCACAACCAGCTTGCTGGGAGGACTCAGGAGACTGTGAAGAGGAAGAAACAAAAGGCAATCTCAGACCTCTAGCCCACACAGAACAAGTCTGGGAGATATAGTCACAGAAGGAAGTGGAAGTCACACACCTGAAATCTCCAAAAGGATAGCAACCGAAGTAAAGAAAAACTTTATGAGACTGTAAAAGTAATCAAATCAAAAATAATGTCTCAGATAAGGAATCACAAACATAATGAAAGAATTGCTGAGCATATCTAAAGAAAACACAGACAAAAAAGATCAGTATAGGAAAATAATTGAATGATATTGAAGAATATCATTCTGAATTCATATGATTCATTCTGACTCATAATGAAGAATGATTGAAAGATTGAAAATATTGGGAAAAAAAAGGGGCTGAGGATTTAGCTCAGCAGCATAAGCGCCTGCCTTGCAAGTGCATAGTCATGAGTTCGATCCCTGATACCGATAAAAAAATAAAATAAAATATTGAATGAATAATACAGAAAGGAATTACAATGCATGAAACAGATTCAAAGAGATATCCAGGAAATTACTGCTTGAAAGAGATTAAAGATAAACTTTCAGACCTTGATGATAGGATCACAGCTAGCAATCATGAAAGGAAAGATCTTTTAAAAATAATAAGAAACCAGGAAATAATTCAATGGCTGCAAGACAATACAAAGACTGATTTCCCTATTATCTAGTTTTGAAGACCTAAATGGCTTCATCATTCTGCTCTGATCAGTTTAATACTATTTTGTTTTGTATGAATTCATTGTGTGTGAAGATATGGACAATTATTTAGAAGAAAACAAAAGACAATATGATAGACAGTGATGATCTCCTGTTGTCTTGCTCTGAAATCTGTGTCACTTACATTGTTTTCTTCTAATCTGTTTTGTTCTGTTTAGTTTTACCCTTTTTAAAATAAAATTTTTTTAAAAAGACAATGCAAAGAAAAATAACTTAAGAGTAATAGGTGAGGTAATAGGTGAAGAGTAATCAGTGAAGCAGAGGTCAACATAAATGAAATAAAAAGGCTATTTAGAGAAGTCATAGCAAAAAACTTTCCTAACATGGGAAAAGGATCTGGCATACAGACAGGTGACGCATACAGAAATCTAGCCATAACCAAAGTATATCTACACCCAGACATATAATAAGATCCCAGAAATTTTGCGCAACAGAGTATTAAAAGCTGTTAGACAAAATAAACAGATCACCTATAAAGGAAAATCCATCAGAATCACGGCAGACTTGTCAACACAAACTATCAAGTCAAGAAGCATTTGAAGTGAAGTGTTTCAAATCCTGAAAGAAAACAATTTCCAACCCAGACTGATGTACCTTTCATAACTATATTGCAAAGTGGATAGAATAGGATGCTTTCATGATAAAGAACAACTGAAGGCATTCATGACCACCAAACCAACTCTACAGAGAGTGCTAAAGGATATTCTAGAAAGAGATAAAGATGACCAAGGTTCCAGGAATAGCAGCAGAGAAGGATCACCAAACAGGATAATCTTGAGGATCTTGTAGGTAAATGGATGCAACTGCAGATCATGCTCATGGGTAAAATGGTTTGAACTCAAATATAGGTGAACCCTAGCATAAAAAACAGGAGTTAGTGGGATCCAAAAAGCACAGCAGATATTATGAAAGTGATAGGGAGGAAACAGCTAGGAGGGGAAGGTGGCAACCACAGTTAATTTTTTAGTGTCTTGTCTTGAACTCTTGTATCGTTTTCACAATTTTGTTAGGTTTGGTTTTGTTCTGTCTTGTTTTGTTAGATTTTACTGTGTCTGATGATATGGGTAACTATTCTGATGGTAACAGGATATATTATGGTACCATTGTTGGTTTCCTATTATCTTGTTTTGAAGTCCTATAATGCTTTCATTCTTTTAATTGGTTTTGTTTGTTTTGATTTTATTGTTTGTGATGGTATGAACAGCTATTTTGAAGAAAACAAGACATTATGGTAGCTATTGTGGATTTCCTATCATCTTGTTTTGAAGTCTTATAATGCTTTTATTCTTTTGTTTTGATTGGTTTTATTCTGTTGTGTTTTACTTATTACATGATAGTATGGACAACAGTTCTCTGAAGAAAATGAGACATTATAGTACCCATTGTTTATTTCCCTGTTATCTTGTTTTGAAGTCCTGTAATGCTTTCTTTTGTTTTGATTGATTTTAGTCTGTTTTCTGTATTTCATTTTGTGTGATGGTATGGGCACCTATTTTGAAGAAAACAAGAAACATTATTGTAGTCAATGTTGATTTCCTATTGTTCTGAAATCCCATAATGTTTTCATCTTTTTTCTTTTGATTGGTTTTATTCTATTTTGTTTGATTTTATTGTGTGTGAATGTATGGACAACTATTTAGAAGACAGTAAGACATCACCATAGCCACTGCAGATTTCCTGGTGTCTTGTTTTGAAGTTCTGTACTGCTTGCATTGTTCTGTTCTGATTTGCTTTGTTCTGTTGTTTTATTCTCTTTAAAATAAAAATAATAATAATACAGATAAAACTTTTAAAAACCCTGCATTTTATCTAGACAAATACAATTTTTGGTCTTGTTTGCTGTTAACTAGGTGAAAGCATAAAAAAGCAACCCAAACAAGCAACACTCAAAATGAGTTCCTATTAGACGCAAAACAGGCCCTCAGATACTGTTTCTCACACCTCCTCAAGAAGTTGTGCAGATGAAGCTCCCAGGCTAAGGGCCAGGACTCTCATTCCACCAAGAGTAACAATTTGAAGGTCCATAGGCCAAAAAGGCAACTGCAACTGAGGAACAGACATGGACCCCTCCTCTGACACAAATTAGAGAGGAAGGCGAGGCAGAAAAGGACTGGCTTCTGACACATGCTTTGGAAAGTAACAAGAAGGATGCATTCACTAACCTGCTTGACTTCAAAGGATACCGTCTGTGTCTCTTCTTCCTCCTCCTCATCCTTGTCCATTTGCTCATAAAAGTCAAACAGGTCCATAGGGATGTCCGACTTGCCCTGTGGATCTGTCGCTCGGGAAGCAGAAGGCCCACTACTGCCTTCTGCAGTCTTAGATATCTGTAGGAGAAAGGTAGGATTCTAGACCTGCACACATCAAACCTTCCTGTTATCAATCAAGAACTCAAGTTGCAAGGGAACAAGAAAACAGTAGGGCTACTAGATGGTCAGTGCTGGATTAAGGAGAGCCAGCACCCAGCCCCCAGGTGACCCTGGTGCCCACGCACAGCAGATTTGCTCGTGAAAGTCTCTGTGATGAGTTCAGTGGCTTCCCCCTCAGCATTCCTCAGGCGGCACTCCCGGATCACTGGGTCTTGAAGGAGGTGCTGGATGACATCGGGATGGGAGCTTTCAACGAAGTACCTACAAGCAGGGCAAGAAGGTGATACCTACTGCCCAGCACACCATTTCCAGAAGATTCTACCACTGATTTGATTCAATGGTCTGGAAATTGTGACCTCATGACAATACCCTGTGGCAAATTGGAATTATAAGCTGCTGGTCATAAAATAACACAAGACTTGTGGGCAAATCCCTACTGTGAAATCAACTCAGAAGGTGTAAGAGCCCCAGTTCTGCAACTAATGAGAATACAGTAGCTGCTGAATGGGTTTCCCACTTGGGCCACATTGGGTCCTTTTATCTGTGCTTCAGGGAAGCAAGGTATTGGTGCAGAGCAGACAGGCCTTAAACAATGGCTCCTGTCCACAAACTTTCTTCCCTCCTGGAACAGGGAGGATGAAAATACCTTAGGATAAGCCCATCATGGAAACCACAGTGCATCTTACCTGTTGTGCTTCAGGACCAGCTTGACTTTTCCATAGCTGACAGTACACAACTGCAAGTAGACACAACACCAAATAGGCAAAATCAGCAATGAACTGCTCGATTCATTTCCCACTTGTCACATTTTACCACCCACCAACCAAATGGACAGCTGAATTTACTTTAGGAAAATCTAGTGTGCAAACCTAAAGCAATGAGGTCTGCTAACATGAAATTTTTTCAATTGGCTTCTTTCTTGTTCTTTAGTACAGGTCTCGCTATGCAGTTCAGGTTGGTTTTGAACTCACTGTGTAGTCCAAGCTGCCTGCAACCTTGTGGCAGTTCTGCTGATGCTGACCCAGTCTCTTCAGTGCTGGTATTACAGGCGTGTGCCTGGCTAGCTTCTGGGTTTTTTTTTTTTTTTTTTTTTTTTTTTTGGACAAACCTTTCCTCCTGCCTGGCTAATTCTCATGCATATCTCATAATTTACAAACACTGCTTAAAATCTCACTTGCATTTCCTATTTCCCTTTCCTCTCCATGCCCATAGACACCACCTTAATCCAGAAGTTCATCCTCTCACCTAAGTGCTACTGCAGGTGCCAGCACACAGGATGCAGAGTGTGTGCTTAGTAATTAGATGTCGTATACATAAAGTGCAAAGTCTGCTGGCCTTCCCACCTATGTTCCTATTTCCCCAACCAAAGTGTAAGCTTCCAAAATGGTAGAGAATACCATTAAATCCTCCCAGGTTCCCATTCCTTCCTGAAGAAAGAGATACATGCAAGATCACATGATAGCTATGAAACCTTGCCACTCAAACCCTAAGCTGTCATCTGCCCTGCTGCCCCTATAATAATAAATACATTGCCCGACTCTAACAACACATGCCTGCAGGCAGTTCCTAGCAAAAACAGACCTTGCCTACCTGCTGGTGCAGACTCACTTCAGGAGCAGAGTCCTCTCCCTGGACATCTGTCCATTTCACAACAGCAAACAACTATCCAGGACTCCTATGGGCTTCTCTGAGACTAAATGCCCATGGTGCTCCTGTGTCATTTCAGAATTGGGGTCTGTATCAGACTCCCTTGTATCAGCCAAGGATAATAAAAGCCCCTGCCCATCTCTTCTCAGCATTCACCCATGTTCAACTTCAATTCCCATGGAAGCTTTTCCATTTCAACATCCAAAGTTTCTTTTTTACTTTCCCTCATGAACTCATTGACTATGGGTCTCATACAGATATTTAGCCTCAGATTTAGTTCACCACCTTTCTTGGTCAGCTCAGGCTGCCATAACAAAATACCACATAGACCGAGTGGTTTAAAAAATATTTATTTTCTTAAAGCGCTGTAGATTGAAGGGACGTTCATGATCAAGGTAAAACTGATTTGGTTTCCAGTGACAGCTCTACTCTTGGCTTGTAGATGACTACTTTCTTACTGTGTACTAACAGAACAAGAAGACAGACACAGTTCTCTGGTGGCTCAGGATGAAGACACTTACCCTATTGGATGGGCCCCATGCTGAGGACCTCAGTCTTACCAAACACACTCACAATGAGAGTTACAGCTTCAATAATAGGCATTTTGGAGAAGAACATAATACAATCTACAACAGCATCCATTCTGGGTCTGTCAGAATGGGTCTGAATTAGTACTCTTACCACTTTAGTGCCTATGTCTGGAAGCAGCTCAAGATACACAGCATTCACCAGAACACAATGCTGGACCCAGAGGCATAGCAGTTAGATTGATCAGTGATTATGCTTCCCACGGAGATATGAATGGCACATTTTCATGTCTATCAATGGGTAGCAATATATACCTACTATACTATACCCTCCATTACCACATTACCAAACAGGCACAAATGTTAGTTTTGGACACCCCCCCCCACTTGCCTTAATAAACTGAAGAATTCCATCAGGGACTCCAGTCTTGCTGAGCTTCCTGAGGTACTCAGTGATGTCACTGGTTTGCAGCCCAACGCTGACAGCTGCATACAGGGAGTAAGCAGTTAGCTTGTATTCATGCACATGGGTTGGTCGGCACACTGGCTCTGCAATTGCCACCAGGAAGTCCTGAGCATATTTGTAAACTGGAGAGAAGGCTTCCAAGAAGATGTGGCCATCAGGAGCCTAACAAACACCAAATGTACAAAACAGACAAGAAAACTAATTAGCTACAGACACTATTAGATTCTTCCCTTATCATTATCAAGAAAGGATAAGCATCAGAGATATTTTTGCAACCAGTTCTTCACATAATTATGGATCTTGTTACTTAATCATATACAAGAGAATAGGAAAAAACGGGAAAAAAGGTCTTGAAAGCAGAATTTTACTCTCACTGATCTCTACAGGAAAATCTTCCCCACCTTACTCACTATCCTCAGATTACCTTTTGTCTACAACTAAGAGTAGAACATTAATTATTTTACACTGAGCAAAAAGCAGGCTGCCAATGTCTTTCATTAATTTAATAAGGAAATAAATTGTTGCATAACAAATTCAGATACAAAGTTTCTTAGTGGGTACAATAACACAAGAAAGAGTAAAAGGAAAGGTCAGAGGTGAAAAAACCTATATCCAAACAGCACACGGGTGCACCACTGTTCAAACTTGTGTCTCTCCTAGTTTTGCAGGGCGGTATCCCTAGTTTTTAGAACTGCGACCAATGTCCAAGGTTTAACTGATAATCCAGACTTTCGGGCACGCTTACCACCCAGAGGGGCCGGGAGGAGTGGTCGTCCTTCAGGGGCATCTGCGACCTGTAGTCCTTCGCTCCGTATTCGTCCACTTTGGTGCCGGACTCATCCACCTGCTTCCCGGCGGCCGAAGGCACCGCCTCCTGAGAGTCGTTCCCAGCGGCGTCATCTTCATCTTCCTCCTCACACTCATAGTGCCGTTTCTTGGACTTCTTCTTGTCTGCAGATACAGATACAAAACTGAGACCCTGCACGGGTCTCGGTTCTCTGCGCTCTGCACAGCGGCATCTGGCGGGAACCTGACAGCAGCCGCCTTCCACCTGCGCCGCGAACTCCTAGGTCGGAGCCATCCGCATCCCGCAGGCAGGAACCCCTCGACCACCCCGGCCGGCCCAGCTCCCAGGGCTGCTCCCGGTTCCAACACCTCGCTTGCCCCGACGCCCGTGTGACTGGGTTGCGAGGGGAGTCGCCCGTGCAGCTCTGACACAGAGTGGCGGGACAGGTGTCGTGGGATACGGGGAAGCCACAGCGCGCCCGCGACCCCTCTCACCGCGGTCTGCCCGGTCTCTTTTGCCCATGTCTGCGGCCACAGCCTCCAAGCGCAGAGCAAAGCACCTACCCCTCGCCCAGGGAAGCCGACTTTTGAGGAACTTCCGATTTGCACCGGAGGCGCGGCATCCACGTTCCGGAAGTCCCGCCCTGAGTCCAGGGCGGAAGGGGCGGGGCGGACGCGCTAGGATCTCGTGCTTCCTCCAAGATTCCATCCGACCTTCTTTCCTCCGCAAAATATCTGTTAAGTTCTTGTGTGAGCAGTCAAGCTGCTTTCAGGGCTATGGTAGGACAGTGGACAAATTAAGATCTTTGTCTTCCTGGAGTTTAGTTCTAAAGGAGCAAGATACAGAAATAAATCTAGTGTTTAGTGCTTCGGGGGGAATGACAGGATGTCATCTAAATAGCGAGGACCTGGAATACCTTTGTGAAGGAGGAGTTATTTGAATAAACACCTGAAAGTAGGGCAGTGTCCTGTATAGTGCACAAACATGAGACCCACGAATAGAACAAGGGAGTGATGCAGAGCGGCATCCCCGGGCCACTTCAAGAAAAGCAAAGAATCTGGCCACATCCATATGGGAGGGTTCCCACAATTGTGTGAACCAATTCCTTAAAGTAAATCGCTCTCACTGGATATCATGATATACACCTATAATCCCAGCTACTCAGGAGACTGAGGCAAGAGGATTGCAAGTTAGAGGCCACCCTCGGCAGTTTAGCAAAAAGTTGCCTCAAAAAATGAAAAGGGATAATAAGAGTTGTAGCTCGGTAATACTATGACCCTGGGTTCAGTTCCTCAATACTTCTGAAGGACTGAAACTTCTGAAATGTGAACCAAAATAAGCCTCTCATCCTTTAAATTGTGTCAGGTATTATGTCCCAGTGACTAGGAAAATGACTAAGACAAATGTTAATAGTAGATAATTTGGGCTGTTGCTGTGAATATACTTGACCATGTGGTTTAGATGCCTTTGAAACTTTTTTTTCAGGGGAGGAGTTTGGAAAGGTTTGGAAATGCTGGGTAGAGAATCTAACTCCTTTTCATTCTCATTTCTCCCTTCCAGATGGAAATACCTATTCTCTACCTGTCCCACTACTGTAACTGGAAGCAGATATCTTTCACAGGTTCCCAGGTGGAGAAGACTTATTATTCCAGGATGAATCATACTCAATTCTCACCCAAAATTGATTTGGATGATTTACATGATGAGATCTGAGGTGATGTTTGGATGAGATATTAGATTTAAGAGTTGAATCTTGAATGACTTAAGACCTTTAGGGATGCTGATGGGATAAACATATTTTGCATGCAGGAAAGATATGAAGTATTAAGGATCAGAAGACAGACTGCTATGGGTTGAACTATGCTGCCCTACTAAATCCCCTGATGAGGGTATTAGTCTAACCCACCTGGCAATATGTGAAGAAACACAAAAAGTTCTGCAGTTGAGGAGCTCTGGGGTGAACCACTGTTCTCTGTGTAACAGAAGGCCTCATCTCTAAAAGTTCATTGCTTTTTTTGCTATCAATCATGGAGGTGCATTGGGGTTGCAGCAGAGCAGATAGGGAAAAGAAACTTTGTAGCAGTGCTATGAAAGGCTTCCAATTAGCAATGCACTGATAGTTGTGATGTATGTGAGGCTGGCATCTTTACTATCAAGAACATTTGTTTCAATATAGCCAGTCTACATATCTTAGTAAATAGGGTAAAAAAGAGATCAGGGATAGATTGTGACAAGGGCTTTTATGGGAGAGAACAGCATGGTGGTTTCCCACACTGCGTCCCCCCTTTTTTGCAAAAAAAAAGTATTTTAAAGTCCTAATTCCTGGTACATCAGAATGTGACCTTATTTAGGCACAAAGTCTTTACAGAGGTGATGCTATTAAGGTGAGACCTAATTTAATGACTAGTATTGCTGTGGAATTCAGTGCCACACCAAACAGAAGACAACAGCAGCAGAGGAACTTTGGAAGGCATACAGGTTTATTATGCTAGTGGGATGATGGGAATCTCAGTTCCAAATCATCAGCCTTGACTTGAAGTTAACAGTCACTTATATAAGTTTTCAGAAAGAAGTACAAAAAGCAGATAACATAATAATCTATAGCTGGTTACACATTTAGGCAGGATTTATTCTACACAAATTAAACAAGGTTACTATAATCTGGAGGAAAAATCAATAATTGTCTGAGATTGGGCAGAGGTGTCCTTGAAGTGGTAACTCTGGGACCTGAAAGTAAGCAAAATATTTCTGCCTGGCTGAGCTACACATATCTTGTAGCTGGCGCCTGGAGTGTCATGACTTGTTAAGTTTCATAGCCTTCTAAATATGGGAACAGGGTATGCTTCTTGGTCTCATCCTTGAACAGTGTTAAAAGTTACTAGTATTATAAATTTAACTTTTTGTTTACATTTAAAATAGCCTCTGCGAGTCCCAAAGATGGCAGATAGAAAACAGCAAGCAACAGAGGCTGTCTGAGATAGTCAACTTAGATTCCAAAAATAATACACAGTGTGGGGAGTCCCAAACAGAGGGAGATATACCCTCCTGATCCAGGAACAAATTAAGCTGAGAAAAGCCAATTAAGAATACAGTCCTGGTGATATGATTGGAACAGCTACAGTCTCAGCGCTGCCACTTGAACTCCCTGCTTGGACTCGCTGCCGCTGCTGTGCTTGAAATAGCACAGCTGGGATAGCCCGCCAGTTTCAACCCACTGGAGAGGCGTTCACACCAAGGGCACGAGTTGGTGGACTGAATTGAGAGCAGAGCTAGTGGGGAACCTTGCATCGACCTGTGGTGAGTGAGCAGAATAAAAACTCTTCCATAAAGAAGGGGGAGCACCAACAGATAACATTCTGGGACCAGGCAGATAGGCTAGAACAAGGAGCAGCAGTGACTTCAACTGGCTACTCCCTTCTCAAGCAGGATTGGTGGAGTGCACTCAACCTGGGTAATGCCGTGAATTAAGACCCAATAGGTTAGGCCAAATCAAGTCCCTATGCCTCGCAATGTACCCTAACGCAGTGAAGCCTTCAGCAGGTTGACTAACCTGGAGGGTCAGCTCCATCATAGGCTGTCCTGGACTGTGTCTCCCTAGTATACTGCAGTGGGTGGGAACACCTAGCCGGGCGATTCAAACAAACTGTAACCAACAAAGAAAGACACTGGGCTTCTTATATATGCTTGTATGGAAGGAACAAAAAGTATGGAAGAGGGAGCAACAAGAAAGGGTCCTCAGTCCCCAGTCCTGAGAACACTAATCCAGGAAAGGTAAAAGCAAAGGAGAATGAAGACAGAAAACATGCAATATCAGACAAGGCATCAATAGACATAAAGCGATATCTTCGGGACCTCATAGACAAGTTCAAAAGTGAAGTATTTAACCAAATAAAGCAAGATATAAGTAGGATAGTTAAAGAAATGCTAAGCACCTCTCAATAAAAAAAAAAAAACAGAAGAATGGAAGAACAAAAAAAGGAGGGGGAGAATTATTTGATGGAGAAAATAGAGAAAACATAGAATACATGAAGCAGATTCAAAGAGATTACCAGGAAATTAAAAATTCCATTGAAAGCTGGCAAAACTGCTTGAAAGAAACTAAGGATGGACTATCCAAAATGGAGGACAGGTTTGCAATGTAGGAACATGAAAGGAAAAGTTTCTTAAAAATAAGAAACAAGCAGAAACAATACAAAGGCTACAAGATGACAAGAGGATCTATAACTTAAGAATAAAGAATGTGAATGAAGAAGCAGGGGTACAAACAAAGGAAATTCAAAGGCTAGTCGCAGAAATAATTAAGGAAAACTTCCCAAACATAGGAAAAGGAAAAGATACTCAGATGTATGAGGCATACAGAACTCCAGCCACCTACAACCAAAACAGAGCTACACCCAAGCATATAATAATCAAGATCCCAGAAATCCAATATAAGAACAGAATATTAAAAGCTGTCAGAGACAAGAAACAGATCACTTACAAGGGAAAGCCTATCAGAATTATGTCAGATTTCTTGGCACAAACCATCAAATCGAGAAGAGCATGGGGTAAAATAATAAAGCCTTGAAAGAAAATAACCTCCAGCCAAGATTGATCTATCCTGCACAACTGTCCCTAGAAATTAATGGAGAAACAAGATGCTTCCAAGATAAAGAGGAACTGGAGGAATTTGCAACCACCAATCCAACTCTCCAGAGAATACTACAGGACATTCTAAAGAGAGGGAAAAGCACCAAGATTTCAGGAACAGTGGCAGAGAGGCCCCAATGAATGGAACAAAAAGCGAAATGAAGAAGACAAACAGATAACTAGTGACAGAAAAAGAGCACAACAGAAATTAGGCAGAGAAGGTTGGATATAATTTCTAATACAGATGGCCTAGATATACTAACAAGGGAAAAAAGAGAATCACAGAGAGAATCACAGGCTGAGTGGATCAAGAAGTACAGTCCACCGAGATGTTCTTTATAGGGAATATATATAATTAACCTAAAGAAGGGTACATGGACCAAATCAAATATGAAAAAACAGAACTTGATGTGATAGGGAACCAGAGACTAATAGGGGCAAAGAGACCAGAACTTACGGTTAGGTTGAAAAGACAGGCTTTAATAAGTGAAGAAATACAACTAGAGAACAAGTCTAGGAGTGAGAAGGTTTGGAAACACCTAGGTAAATAGCAGGTTGCCCCCCTAATATAAAACCGAATGTGTTGGGAGAACTAAAAATACAAGTACATCCTGGGAGCATGAAAGGGGAGGAATCGTCTTTAAAAAAAAAAGACAGCAAAACATATTGCTAATAGGATATCAGGAATTAAAACCCATATTACTCACACCACTCTGCTTGGATGGAACTTATTCTGTCCCAGTTTGTATACAAGCACTGGATCTGAGGGCACAGACAGCTGTCCCGAAGATATCAGGATATAACCCAGTGGTCATCTTTAATTTCCTATTAACTTAATCCGGATCCCTGTATGCCTTATACTGTTATATCTTGACTGATCTTAGTTAAATCTGATTTGTTGGATTGCTGATTATTGACAGATTTTACTCAAAAGTGATCAGTTGATATATCAAGTCAGAGAGTATAGACAACTATACTGCAAATGACAATAATTCACTGATACCCATTCTGACTTGACTACTACCTGTTTTTCTAGCTCTACACTATCTAAAAAGTTGTATTACTATTAATTCTGTAATGGACTGATATATTCAATTATACTTTATCTGATGATATAGCCAATTCTGTTGATAACAAGAGATAGCACAGCAACCATGACAGAACTTGTACAGCAGTTTTATGTATCTTTTTAGTTTTATGTGTCTGTAGGAATATGTTTTGTTCTGCCGTTCTGTTGTTTCTCCCCCTAAAAAAAGGATAGAAATACATGTTAAGACTCATGCTTGCATAAAACCTATAAACAATTTATGAGAACTGATCTTATGACACATGATGAAATGAACAAATACATTGAAGGAAAAGGGGCACTACAGTATCCAGTGCTGATTGCAGAGTGTCACGATGTGAAATCCAGCAATACTATTAAGCTTTGTTCAGAATGATTTTAATCTGCTATGTTTTGTTTGGTCTCAACATAAATGAAGGTATGGATAAATACATACATGTCTAAGTGTATAGAATCGATAGCCATATTACTTAGTTTTTGTTGGATAGTTGAACAGAACTGTTTGCAGTCTCCCTGGTTGAATTCCTATTTATATGCTCCACTTTAGTATCTTGAACAATTATTTGTGGGAGGATAATATGTAAACATTAAGTAGTGATTTATTACTGTTTATTTTTTTCTTTGGAAGTATGTACTATTATTTCTGCCCATTTTGTTATGTTCTATCTTTCTTTAAATAAAATTTAAAAAGTAAAATAAAATAAAATAGCCTCTGCAGTATCCTTATAAAAAAAAGTGAAAATGTATCAATGGATAGACAAAAACAGAGGGAAAACACCATGTGATGATGGAAACAGATTATAATAATGCTGCCACAAACCAAAAATGCCTGAGCCTACTATAAGTTGGAAAAGGCAAGGAAGGTTTTCCTACAAATTTCAAAGGGAGAATGGCTCTAACAATGCCTTGATTTTGGACTTCTAAGACTCCAAAACTGAGACAACTTATTTGTTACAACTCACCTAGTTTGTGATACTTTGTTATCCCATTACAGGACATTTAATTTATGCAATTCAGGCTGGCCTTGAGCTCACTGTGTAGCTCAGGCTGGTCTAGAACTCTTGGCAATACTGCCTTCTCAGGAGTGTCTGTAATCCCTAGTCTCAGGATTACAGGCATGTGCCACCATGACCAGCAGGATTTGTTCTTAAATGTTAAAATTGCTAGTTCAAATTGGGCACCGTGGCATACACCTATAATCCCAGCACTAGAAGGTTGAGGCAAGAACACTGAGTTTGAGGCCAGCTTTGGCTACATAGTAAGTTCAGGGCCAGCCTGAACTGCATAGAAAAACCCTCTCTCAAAAGGACAAGGAAAACAAAATTGCTAGGTCAGAGGACACACAACGATCCTAAGGCTTTTTTTTTTTTTTCTGGTGCCATAATTTATTAAACCTGTTTTTCTGGAGAGACTGTAATGTTCTAATGCCACTGGGTGTAATTTCAAGTTAGATGAACTTGTATTTTTACCCTGTCTAAAAGCTAATGAGGATTCCAAAATAGCACACAGCATTAAATGACATTACTGTTCCATAAATCATGAATCCCCAAAAGGAATGCTAAACAGACAACCAAAACTTTCTAAAAGTAATTAAGTTCACTTCTTTCCCAAGTGACTTACATAAAACGTGGTCACACAAAAATAGGACAAAATGGCAAGCTCTTCTCCTACAGGTCTACAGGAGTCACTGGTATTTCCAAACTGACTACTGAGACAGTGCTTCTTTGTGAAAAATAATCAGCCACCTTTATGAACAGAAGCAGCTTTGTCACCTGGGAAAGAATTCAAACTTAATCATTCCTATTTCCATCTGAACAAGGATGAGGATCAAACAGTACATCCAAAGCTAAAACTGCTAAGTACACAGTGATGCTGTAATTAAAATGGAATTAAAAGGTTTTGTTTTTTAAGTTAAGCCTTGATATACCACTGGCTTTAAAAATGCTTTCTGATGAATTCTGGACTGCTTTGGGTGAGGAAGATAAAGGCAGTAGGAGGAAAAAGTGAAAACAGATTTCTTTTGGAAAAAATGTTAGTAGATACACATTTGATTTTACAACAGTTTCATAGAATAAGAAACCATTATTTAGAGTATAAAAAGCTCCTAAATCACCAGAATGTTTATCCATGATTATATGGAAGCTCATTATTTGAAGTGAAATAAAGGGGATTTTTATGGTACATTTTATTTTATGATAGTGTTTTCATGGATAATTTCATTGTGTTCATAAGAGAGATCACTTTACAGCAAGTCAGAAGCTATCAACAATAACACTTTGTTCCTCCTTCTTATGTCACCAGTTTCTAACATCTGGGGTAGAGATTTTAAAAATGTTTAACAGAAGGGAATAGAGATAGAGAAGGGGAAGAAGATGAGAAAGAAAATTACAGGAGTGGTAAGAAAACCAGAAACTAAAATGCTTTAGGAAGCAGAAACAAAAGAAGTTTTTCAATAAATCAGCAACAAAGCAAAAATACAAGTCTCTATACTGACAAGATTTTGGCACAATAGACAAAAGAAATTAGAAAACAGGCCTTTATTGCAGGCACGGGAGGGCTGTAGAAGAGATGTAGGCACCCTCGGTGAGAACAAGGGAGTGGAAGAACTTTTATCAGGTCTGGCTTTTGACAAGTGGGCAAAATGACATCTCAGCAGCTGATTTGAAGGAGCATCTGCGTGCACATAACAGGAAAAAGATTGACTGGGGGCTGCGGGTAGTTGTGGAATCTTGGGATTGGAGAGGGCTAAATGCATGCACAAAAAGGGAGCAGGAGGTTTATTTCTGGAACTAGAAGGAGAGCATAGAAGTTACTCTTAGGAGAGATAAGTCACTTCTTTGGGCCCAGCACCAAGTTGGGAAGATGTCATGTTAGAGATAAGCCCCAGGCTGGCAGAATCTATCAGTACCTATCTCTCTATCAGTACACTGATCCTCTTACCAAAGTAACTCTTGATAATGCAGTCAGCTTCAAACCCATCTGCCTAGTTTGGGTCTTCCCTGGTCTGTCACAATTGCATCAGATGTACACCCTTAGACAGGATTCCTTTCGGGAAGGTGCTGAGCTGCTTGCCTGACTACCAATGGCCACATCAACACGGCGTGTATCTCTGCAGTTTCTATTCTGGCTCCACCAACAGCCTGGTCCCCCATCTCCTCTCTAGGTCTGTGTTAGGTTTAGGTAACATAAGCCAAACTGGCACAGAAAGTAAATGCCCACTGTAAGTTTACAATCATTTCCAAACTGCATACAGTGTAAAAAGACAGCAAAGGTAGCTTTTGGGAACCATAGGGAATGGCTTCTGCCAGAAGCTGTTCTGAGACTTGATTTGCCTGAAGTAGTCCTCTGTATTAAATTATTAATGTAAATTAACCCCAATATTATGTAAGAGACCATTCTTTACTCAGTAGGTAGGATAATAGGCTTTGTGTTTGGTTTTAATCATTACTAAGTTCTGAGTAGGTAACCTGTATGTCCATATAAAGATACATTAGTCGAGTAGGACATTGTAAGATTAAATACAGGAGAGATGTGGTTTAGTTTCTGTGTTTGTAGGTGCATATATGCTTTGTCTCCCATAGAGTGATTAACTTAAGCAAGAGGGGACATCTGTGACATATTATATGTAAGAAAAAGAATCTGGGGGGCTGGGGATTTAGCTCAGTGGCATAAGCACCTGCCTTGCAAGCAGGCCATTGTGAGTTCAATCCCTGGTACCAATTTAAAAAAAAAAAAAAAAAAAGTGCTGGCCAAGCATGGCGGTACACGCCTGTGATCTCAGCCCTTGGAAGGCTAAAGCAGGAGAATCACCTTGAATTCAAAGTCAACCTGGGCTACATAATGAGCTTAAGACTAGCCTGAACTACATAGTAAGACTCGGTCTCAAAAAATGAAAACAAACAAAAACAAATCTGGACAAACCAATCACAGTGGAAATAAATATCAGCTTTATTAACACTCAAAGTGCCATTCATTTATATTCATTCCATAGTCCAGAAGGTTACTGAGAGTAAGCCTTTGTACCACAATCTTTCAAAAAATAAAACAATGAACATGTAAGAAAAAGCAACTTTCATTGTGCTAATTATTGCAAGCCTTCATGCATGATAAATCTAAACAAAAGATGAGTGCCAACAATATACAAATTTCCATATAAACAAAGTCATTGATCACTAACAAAATATAAACATGGTTTCTTTTTATATTAGATTTTTTAAAAAGCTATTTAACACCAAAAAAGTACATAGAAATTATAAAACTCAAGAATTTTGTACATTTTTACAAGCATAATTTTGCATGAACGCAAACTCAAAATGTGCATGAAATGTGGCACATACCACACTGTATCTGGCTTCTGGTAGGTTCTAATCACACTGGTTCCTTTTAACAAGTGACATTCAACTTTAACAGTGGACTTTATTCCTAACACAAGAAATTTTACGTGGCACTGCATATTAAAAACAAAGTTTCCTTTGAATATAGTAACACTGTCCGATTGGAAATCTAATTTCCAATTCTTTTTCTGCCAGTTCCTTAAAACACATATTACAGTATAACAGACACAACAGTAGGGTCTAGACATTTCTAAACCAATTCATACTCCATTATAAAGAATCACATATGCCAAAGTATTTACTGTTTTATAAGCCCAGTCTGACCTTGCTCAGTAAAGAAAAAACTGGAAGTTGAAATCTTTTGGAATAAAGGAAAATTTAAAAACAACAGTAGGACAAGCTTATACCAACTGGAAATGTAAGTATCTTAACATAAAAGCAATTTAGTTTCTCACCTTTTTTTTTCACAGCTCTGAGAATTGAAAAGCCTATGTGTTTCTGCTACTTCTTAAAGCCTTTTTTTTTCTAACTTGCATTTCATAGAATTGTCAAAAGAGAATTCCATGACTTTCTTTCAAGAGTATTTTAACCAAGTTCTAAGTACAACTTGTGTCCAAATCTGGAAATACAAATACATCTTAAATGGTTACAACAAAATTAAAAAAATATTTTTGATCAGCCAGCTGAAAATATATTCATATAGTAAATAAACTCTCAGAAAGCTTTTATATATATTTATCCTAACTACATAGTACCCTTATAAAACAAGTTCATAAAAATGTAGAAATGAAAAGAAAGTAAGAAATTACAGGGATATATATATATACACACACATATATGTGCCTACAAACAGAAAAAGACATCTTCACACAAACACACATCCCCTGATACACAGAGTTACAAAGCATACTTTCAACTCAGTAATGGACTTTAGAATACATTATAAAATTAGAAAGTAATGTTGAACTCCTGAGTTCTTCAACAAAGACAGAACCATAGATACGTATACTTTGTAAAAGCAAGGTCCACCTAAGTTAGTCATAGCAGTCTAGTAACTGATGGCTACGTCTTGAAATTAAAACAAGAGACACAGACAGTAGTTTGATGCACGCATTCACGATGCTCATACACTAAACAATTATTGGTCAGAGTAATAAATCAGTGTACAAATTAAACGTTTTCAAAAATGTGCAAAAAAGTCAAACTTGTTAGGAAACAAAAAAACCTTTGCAGATAATTATAAACTGCCAGCACTCAAATGAGATTAAAAATGTTTACTGAGAAAAATCAATAGGTTACATACAGAGAACTTAGTGGCTACATTTAAAAATGTACATTAAGTCAAAGATAAATTTACAAATTGATAATCGCAGTTTGCAATTAAAAGTTTACTTTCAAATTTATCCAAGTTTTATTTACAATAAATAAAAAGAACCATGTGAAATGTAAGAGTGGCAGACATTAAAAGTATTTTTCATATTAAGTTTTATAATATTTCAGAATGCAGGGTAGCAAATTTAAAAACCAACAGCAATAGAAAATATGTAAACCTTTTACTAATTAAGATTGTATTAAAATGATAGGTTGTTTAAAGAAGTCTTGTACCTAGACACTGTTCTATTAATCAAAAATGTGTATTGCAAGGGTCTGACCCACTTTCTTTTGCCCAACTCAAATGCTTCCACTAATCCTCTCTTATTTCCAGGTGGAAAAAATTCTTTGGAAAAATGAGAATATGTCAAATCCATTCTGGAATCTAAGTATCTGATAGAGATTAACATCTAATTTAGTTACTCATCTCTCCCATCAAGTAATATTAATGCCAAAATCATCACTGGTTACATATAGTTTTTTAAAAGTTCTAAAATATATTAGGTAAGTGAACTCAAAAAGTGCTTTTCAGGATAGTCATAAACTTTACTCTTCCCAACTGGCATTAAGAGATTCAGAAATCCTTATTTGGGGACAATTCTGCACATATGCTAAAGACAGTTGCTTCCTTGTGTTCCAAAGTGTCTATGGCACAAAACAGGTATCAGTCCATAACCTCCTCTTCTTCAAAGCTTTCCTGAAATGCTCCTCAAGTCAAACACAAGTTCACACGTTAAGACACTAGGGAGAAAATATGCCACCAACCTGAGCATCAGACATGACCACATATCCACATGCATCTATGGTCAAGTGACATTAATAAGATTGGCACAAGTATGAGTTAATTAAGTATGTAGTATCAATATATGTAGTATCAATATAGTTCCTTTATATGTGAAGTAAATTCTGCATATCTAAATGCAAACACTGAGCACCTGTTCCTTTCCTTGAAGGATAGACTGGGATCACATTCTACTGGTACCTGCTTTTACCATTTTTATGCTATTAGCTTACAAGTGGTCAGATGTAACAGGACTAATCATTTTGGCTATGTGTGCAAGAAATATAAAAGCTTTGGTTTAAAGTGATTCTGATAACACAGACTGTGATACAAGTAAGTCATTAAGCAGAGAGAATAACAGTTTTCACTGACAGCCTTTGTTATTAACAAAAATACTATATGACTGTCAATGCACAATTATGAAAAACATGAAAGAATTATATGATTCTGTATATAGGCAACAGATACAATTTATTCTTTACTAGAGCTATGACTCCTCCCCCACCTCCATGGTCAACCCTGACCACTGCCACTCTGACCAAGTAAAGAATCTCTAGGCTCCCCTGAGAGCTTATTAGAATCTACACCTCCCAAAAGTGAGAACAAAGAGAGATGGGTGACCCTGATACTTCCCAGACCTATTATGGCATCCTATCCAGGCCATGGCAGAAGTCCAAGCAAAGCTAAAGAGAACTATGAAGTAGGAACAGTGTTTTCACAGCACACATTCCCTAGCCAACCAAAAAGAGGTATAAGAGAATTCCTTTAGAATACTTGGTAAGCTAAGGAAGCTTGTTTAGATAATGTCTGGCAGGACTTCTATTCCAAAGAGTTCATGAAGAACTATGTAAGATCAATTACTTTCTATTTAAGAATTTTATATAAGCTCATTATAATACACATACACAAATTGGATTTTAGTCTACTTTTAGCAACCAAAAGCTTAGCAATTTACAATAAGTACCCTTAATAAAAATCATTTACACGAGTTACTCAGGAAAACATACTGGCATTCTCACTAGAGGATGATTACTTTCATTAATGGTCAGTAGGTCATGCATTTTCGTGTTATTCTTCTCAGAACAGGGATTGATCTAACTGAATATTCGTACGTTTTTCCTCTCTTTCCTTCCTTCCTATCTCCCTCTTCTTTCCTTTTTCTCTCACTCAACTTCAAACACCACACACACACACACACACACACACACACACACACCCCACCACTATCACCACACACATCACAGAAAAGCTAGAGTCAAAATGTTAAGCACTAAGGATGAGAATTTACTGTCTCTTTAGGCAAAATTAACTACTCTAGCTCTAGTATGAATATCCCAACTGAACCAGGATATACAAAGAACCTGGAGGATGCCAATGTGATTGAAAGTCAAGTAATCAACCCAGAAAATAATTTACTATGCCTATTTTGAATAACTCTTTCTATGCTTATTTAAGACTAGTAGAGAATCTAGTATCCCAAACACTAATGTTTCTTTACTAATATTGAAAAAAAAAAAAAAAAAGAGGTAGAAAAGGGCAGGAGGAGGAAGCAGCCATTAAGAAACATTGGGGCCAACACGTGGTCTAAACTCTTGAAGCCTAATTGATTTGGAGGGGGGGGGATCTTCATTTTGGTGGGTAACTTGAATTAGTAATATAAAATAAAAGTAAGGCATACAGAGAAAAAGGCACTACTAAAAACCAACAATTAAACTGCTTTATGTTACCATTTGACCAATCTTAAATTCAAATAAATAAAGTGACCACAAAACTTAAAGATAAACAATATGGTCTTAAGAAACAGTCCTATGCTTAGCTTAAATAACACTGTTGACAGAGTTTGATTTCTACTAAATGTTTTTGAGGTTTTTTTTTTTTCACAATTTAGACCAAAAGAAAATTTTTTTCTTTAAAAGACTGCTGGGGTGGTAGTACTATGGAATAAATATTTGCTATCCCTGGGACTGTTTGAATAGAGGCTGTGGTTTGTAATAAGAGAGGTCCTGAGAAGAAAGAGGCTGTCTCATCATAGGGGTTCCCCCTAAATTTGGGGATACTTTTACTATACCTCCTTTTATTGACATTTTGGTTTGTAACAGCCAAAATGTCATTCCCCTTACTTCATTAAAAAAAAAAAAACTGTAACATTTTAGAAAATCATTGCTGAACTTTCTGATTTAGGGCCTGCCATAAAGTAACTGTTCGCCCATATTCCTCCTGGACTGTGACCTCTCCAAGGATGTGAATTTCACACTTGACACAGTAGGTCACAATTACCGAAAAGCAAATGAAGAAGAGAAACCCTATTTTCAAGAAACAAAGAGACTTGTAGATGTGATTGATACCACATGATTTTATCAAGGACTGGTTTCTAGACCCCCAAATAAAACTGTTGGTGCAACAAGCTGCTGTCGGCCAAGAAGTCTTAATTTGGCTTAGCCATACTGTTAAATAATTCAGATTTGATTTATTTTCTTCATGATTTCACGTATCTTACAACTTCCATCTCAGAAATACTACATATCTAACCTGACCTGTGTCAGAGCCAGAAGAGCAGAAAGCTATTCTAAAGAAGTATTTTCACTCTTTTTATGTAGTTTCTGTTGGGAATCAGGTAAAGACTTTCAAATGAAAGCCAATTCAACTTATTCTGAAATCAGAGTTTTAATTTGTGCCTCAATATTCAATCTCTTACATCACATAAGGGTGACTGTACCTTTAAAATTTTTTAAGGCAATAGTCCTAGTGATTTTTTAAGTTAAAAAATGTTTTATAAACAAGGAAAAGTACTGAAAAATTTCAGGGTTTTTTAAAGTCTGTCTACCTTTATATATATTTTAAATAACTACCAACCCATCAAAATTTCCACTATATTTTTCAATCCTTTTATTTAATATACTTCACAATGTCAAAGATCTTACATTTGGCCCAAACCTACCATGTCACTTTGAATCTCTCAAGACCTAAGTAGAAAGATACTTCCTGAAAAGCACATGAGACTGCTAGTGAATCTTCTCCAGCACCAAAAGCAGAATGCAAAGCAGAATGCATTTTAAAGGCACAAAGTCAGCAGTCTGGCCATTCTCCAGCCTCAGCAAAGAAACATTACAGTACAAAAGGGTCAGCTGTGCATTTAAAAACCAAAATATATTAGTCATCTTAAAAAATTCAAATGGTTTGTTAATCCATACTATTGATTAGAAAGAGGAAAATGGAAGTGTAATATTTAATTTCCCCTGATAAAGGTATTTCCTTACAACAATTTCTTGTTTTTAAAGTGTTCTTTTGGTCTTCCATATCACCACCCCATACTTCAAGCTTTTTAGTTCTTGTACTATCTTTATATACCAACTTTTATTGTGGTTTTTGGTACCTTCACAACTTGTTTGAAATAAATTCACACCATATTCTATATAACTCTATAAACTATTAGTCTACTTTTAAGTCTTTACATAGAAAACATTACTTTCCCATAGCAAATAATATTTTTTTATAAAGCAAATGTCTTCTGCAGCAGTTATAAAGTAGCAGTTTCTTTTCAGGTACTTTAATTTTCTATACCACTCAGAAAAGGAGACTGACAAAAACAAACAATTTTGCTTTGAGTTCCACAAGTCTCCTCAGGCTTCTCTCTAGAGAGCATTTTTGCCTTCTCTGCACTGCCGGTTACCCTGACAGACCAAAAATGAGCTAAAGGGAAATCACAATCACGCAAGACAAAGAAACAAAAGAAAAGCACACTGGTCCAGACACTGTAATTCTGTTCAAGTAGAAAGATGTTCTCACCCATAAAAGATAAAGAAAGTATAACAGATCCACACACTTGGGGATTATGTTTCCAGCATGATTAGGCAGTTGATTTAGTGAGAGGAAGCACCTAATTACTGTTCTTCTTTGCAAGCTGCTTCCTTTGATACTCAGAAAATGGGACAAGTATTGATGATTAATTTTGTGCTTTAGCTTCTCAAACTAGCTAGTGGAATTTCAAATATTCCTACAAGGAAGGCCAGATGGGACCTTACAGGATAAACTAAGACTACTTAACTTCAAAACAAAGTATTTTAAATGTCTATAAGAGAGCATACCTTGCACAGAAAATAGTCCCTTACGAATCATTTAAAAGGCATCACATTTAGGGCCCTCCAGAAAACTATTTTCTAGACTTTTTCAGTAGTATGATGCTATGCGATACGACAGGATCTTTCTCAGCTGCTTCTGCCCTCAGTTGATACCTTACACAGAAATCCAACAATTTTAGCCTTCCTGTTGGTAGTGAACATTTTGTTCTGATATGTTTTTCTTTGCTTACAATTATGAGTTGAGTTTCAACTAAAGAATATATACCAATACTGAGTTCAAAAGGCTCAGTATTCAAATTCATTTTGTTTCTAAAATGGAAGAATTATTGATTTGGGTGTTATAAGGAGATAGAAAAGAAGTGATTGCTACATACTGTTTGTTGAGATCTTTCACCCATGATCTGAAAGTAATGGTACCTGCTCTTAATAAAGTCCTCATTCTGTGATATAGCCTTTCTTTTTAAAATTTGGTTTTCTGCATTTACTGGTTTGTAAATGGCCATTTTCAGTTTGCAGTAGGGACTAGCTTTTACATAAGATTTCTCAACTTCAATGGTTTTCCCATTTGGGACAAGACAATTCTTGGGGGTAGGAATGCTGTTCTCATACACTGTAGGCTACTCAGCAACACCACTGGCCTCTACCCACTAGATGCCATAGTACCTTCCAGTTGTGACAAATAAAAATGTCTCCAGGCATTGCCAAATGACACATGAAAAAAAAAAAAAAAAAAACCACTCCTATCTTATTGTTTTACACACTGTATTTCTTGAAGTGCTTTAGAATTCTGTGGTTCCAAGAACAAGAGCTTCATATCATGCCACTAGCTTTAACATTCTAGCAGGCTGAATTCTAATTCCTAAATGCTGTTACCTATGGAAAATCAGGAGCTAGAAATAGGAAAATAGTATACATGATTTTTATTATTTCTCAATTTCCTTAATTTTGAGACATTCTCCCCTAAAGTAAAGAACAGTTTAAAATATACTAATCAACACCTAATTCTTTTTTTCATTACGTTTGTTTACTGGAAAAAGTGGTCTTTTCTATTCAGACACTTTATGAGACTAATTGTGCCTTTTAGGTGGACTTATTCATTAAGTTCCCTTATCTGCTTTAAAATAAATTTTACCCTTTTTAAATTTAAGCAGAAAGCCATCCCTCAGGTTAACAGATTCCAGTAACATGGATCTATTATTGTGTATTTGCTTACTATATGGTTAAGATTAACAATAAACATACCTCTTAGAAATCTGTATCTTCTACCCAGAATCCTACTGAGCAAAAAGCTTGGTAGACAGAGGTTAAGATCTAAAGAATACAGGTAACAAGGATCCTGTATTCTTTAGGTTGAGTACCTACCCTAAATTTAAGTTTAGGGCTCAACTCCACAAATGAGGAACTATTTTAAATACTATCACTAAAAACTACAAATTGTACATTATTTTTTCTCCTCCTCTTCCACACCTCCCCATCACCACCAATTTGTGATACTGGGGAACACTCTATAATTTTTAGGTATTCCAAATGATTTGTTTATACTACAAAGAGTGACTATGTACTAAAGTGCTTTATCTCTCTTAACCACATCAGCACATTATAAAAATTTTTTAAAAAAGAAGTTTCAAGTTCTTGTGAGGGGAAAAAAAGATTAAATATAAAAAATTTACATCACTATTATTATTAAACAAATTTAACCAAGAATCAAGAGAAATACTTTCCCTCTTGTCTTTTTCCTCCCCCATCTCTCTTTTTCATAAAAAAGAAAAGTGCAGTGAGAGAGAGGTGAACAAACAGATGGGAGCTGGGTGGAGGCACAGGACAGGTCACCAGCTCCTAGTGATAATGCACGAACATGTGCCTTAAGAGTTCATCTGCTGAAGGTCTCAGCTTGGCCTCTACAAAAATTCGTTTGAGAAAGTCTCGAGTATAGTCTGAGACATGAGGTGGCAGCTTTGGGTTGGTTGGCTGAGTGGCAATCTTGAAGATGGCAGCCATTGCTTCAAATTCAGCCCATGGAGGTTTCTCAGTTAGCATTTCTACTACAGTACAAGCTACGCTCCTAAAAAGAAACAAAAAGAAATCCATTATAAAAGCAGTAACATTAGAGAAGAAAACTACTAAGCCAGAACATGAGAAACAGGAGTAAAGCCCATAAGTATTTAATTGTGACTTGACTTCAAGGTTCACATTTCCTTAAAATGTAATTAGGGTTGTGGCTGTAGCTCAACGGTAGAGCATTTGCCTTTTGTGTTAAAGCCTGGGGTTCTATCCCCAGAACTAAAGGGATAGGGTAGACATGATCAGGACATAAAATTATACTTTAGATATATAAATCAGTGGAAATATACCACAATTTAATATTAACCTATATGTTACACAAAAGTATTACTCATTGTATTATTTTTGTTCTATGTAATTTTCTAACCTTCCTCAAAAATAACTTTTGTCAGGGGGAGGAGAGAAGATGACAGAGTGGTAAGAAGCAGAAAAAGAGCCTCTCTGAGAGTTGCTATCCAGATGCTGGAAAATAGCAACGTGAGGAAGACAATAAAGAGGGAAGTGGGTCCCCTAGACCTAGGAAAGATCTAAAGCAAAAACTGAATCCCCCAGAGAGTGAAGAGAGAAACTTCAGTGAAGAAGGAAGTAGCCAGCAGTGTCTTCTCCCTGAGACAGGACTCACTGTGGGAGAGGAGTGGTTCAAACCTGTGGACACATAGTGACAGTTGGTAACACCAGAAGCCCCTGGAGAGATGCAGCAGTGGAGAGAAGCAGCAGATGTGAAGCACTGCACTGGCTGGTGGTGAGTACTGAGGATTCAGTTGTCCCACACAAGAAAGAGATGGCAGGGAACCATGGAGGAGAGGGGCTAGCTGAGCTCAGAACTCAGAGCAGCTGTCTGCTCCATCTAGTGGCTCCTAGCTGGGCCCACAAAAGGTACGAAGTCAACTGCAGGCCTAATGAGTCTGTGCTTAATTGGCAAGTGCAGGCTCACTGAGATTATTCACAATCCCCATGCAAAAGCTACTGCTGGCTTGCTAGGATAGATTAACATGGATTGGGACTCCACACACTGTCAACCAGTGATAGCTCAGACAAAGCTGAAAGTGGACTTTTTTTTTCTCTCTTCGTATTGTTTTGTGCTGTAGTTGCAGTTTTATTTTTGTTTTTCTCCTTCATTGTTTGGTCTTGTTTTTATGTGAGTGTGAACATGGTTTCAAACTTCTTTGTGGTTGTGGTCTTGTTCTGCTCTTCTTTTTATCTTTCTTCTCTCTTTCCCTCCAACCTTCTGTACCAGTTCCCCAAAGTTAGCATGATCCCCCGTCCTCCATCCTTATTTCTAGTCTCTTCCTCTTCTTCCACTTCTCTGACAATTTTTTCCCTAATCCATTTTAAGTTTTTACCCCTGAGGGCAAAACTGACATATTAAGGGCTGTATACTGCATATGATTTTTGTTTTAGATTTTGTTATATACTACAAATCTAGTTCATATGTTTAAAGATGGCAATTTAATATTTAGCTAAGTTTGTCATTTTCTAGATAATGTTGTCACAATTATTCTAAACAGCTGTTCTTCCTGGTATTACAAGACTGGGACTATAGGTCACAGAAAATACTGTGGCACAGTGCCAAAGAACCAAAGGCTAGTACAAACTTCTCATGCCCAACAAATTTAAGATACAGTATCTTAAAACAGACTCAAAACCTAAAAACCAGCTACACCTGGAAGATACCTCTGAGACATAGTCACAAGGCTTCTAAATACTAGCAATAAAGCAACCTACCAGAGGCAATTTACAAGCATCATCCCAGGAATAAAACTAAAGAAAGAAAACAGAATGAGAAGACACAGACCCCTGACATCCAGTTCACCAAAAGCAAACCCGGGGAAAATGAGGTGGGACAATCCAAAAGCCTCCCACCTGGCCTCTTTGACATGGCAACAACAAAGCAATTGAATGAGGCTCTAGAAAAAAATCAGAAATAATTTCTCAGATAACTACAGAGATTTTGTCCACAATGAAAACCATGACTAGTGACTCTACAGCAGACACAGATAAAAGACAAAGAAGCTTAAGAAAATTATGGAATCCATGAATGCTCAGCATAGGAAAGAAATAGAATCCATAAAGCAGATTCAAACACACCCAGGAGAATAAAAATTCCATTGAAAGTATATGCAGCAGATTAAGCCAATGTGAGGACAGGATGTCAGATACAGAAGACAGGCTTGGAGTTAAGTTAATGATCACGAAAAGCAAGATTTCTTAAAAATAACAAGGGATCATTAGAAATCACTCCAGTAGTTACTGGATGAGATAAAAAATAACCTAAGACTGATTAGGGTAAATTAAAAAGGCAGCAGATAGCACAAATGGTATTTTAAAAAAAAAACAGAAACACTGTTTACAGATGTCATGGCAGAAAACTTGCCTGGCAGAGAAAAAGAATCTGATATACAGGTAAGTGAGGCAAACAGCACTTCCAGTTAGTTACAATCAAAAACAAAACAAAGCAAAAAACCAAGAAGCTACAGTCAGGCATATCATAGTCAAGATTCCAAAAATTCAATACAAGAACAGAAGTTTAAATGCTATAAGGGAAAAGAAAAAAATCACCTGTACAAGAAAGCCTATCAGAATCACAGCACAAAATCAAGGAGCGCTTGGAGTGAAATATTTCAAATTCTAAAGGAAAACAACCTTCAACTCAGATTGATGTAGCCTTCAAAACTATCTTTAAAATCTGATGGGGAAATAAGTTACTTCCATGACAAAGAACATCTGACAAAATTTATAACCACCAAATCAGCGCTCCAAAATATTGTGACGGACATTCTAGAAAGAGATAAAAAGTACTACAACTTTATGAATCCCAAAAGAAGGAATCCACCAGGGGAAGGCAAACAGAGGGAGGGAGGAAAAAAGAGAGTAGCCAACAACAGGAAAATAACATGACCAGAATAAGTCAATACATATCAGTTATGACTATCTATGTTAATGGCCTCAATTCACCCATCAAAAGACACAGAATGGATCAAGAAGCAAGATCCAACACAAGAAACTGCACACAAGAAACATTTAATAAAAAAAGAAATTTGCTGGAACTGTTGAATACATATGCAGGCTGTGGCATGGCTGGACTGAGAATGAGGAGATGCCTCAGGGGGCAAGACAGGCCACAAAGAAGGACACCTAGAGACTTCTCCTAGGCTAATTCTCCTTAATTAGCATTGTCTGTTGCCTGGAGGGGTCTTTGAACCCCTCCCAAGGTCCTGCTCAGGTTTCTGGTGTTTTCCACTCCAACCCTGTTCTTGTTTGAATACTAAATAAATACAAGCTGCCTAGAGACATTATCTGTCTCAGCCACCAGAGTTAAGAACTCTGCAGAGGGTTTTGGTCCTCCTGGAGCCCTAAAGATCATACCACTTGTATCATTCATTTGGGCCTTCACCTTGCCCTTGTTTGGGAGATTGGGGATCTCCAATAGAAATTCATGGACTAGACAAAAACTGTAATCTTTCCTTCTAAAATCAGAACAAGATAAGCATGTTCTCTGTCTCTACTCTTATTCACCAGAGTCCTGAAAACTTTAGCCAGAGTAATTAAACAAGAAAAAAAAAATAAAAGGAATAATGATAGAAACGAAAAAGTTAAATTATCATTATTTGCAGATGATATGATACTCTACTTAGAAGACCCCAAAAACTCCACTAAAAAACTGCTAGATTTAATAAACAAATTCAGTAGTACAGCGGAACACAAAGTCAATATAGAAAAATCAATGGTCTTCCTGTACATGAATAACAAACTCACTGAGACCGCAATTAGGAAAACAATACTTTTCGGGCTGGGGATTTAGCTCAGCGGCATAAGCGCCTGCCTTGGAAGCAGGCAGTCGTGAGTTCGATCCCTGGTACCGGTAAAAACAAAAAAGACCAAAAAAAAAAGAAAACAATACTTTTCACAGTAGCATCCAAAAAAAAAAGAAAAGAAATACCTAGGAATTAATCTAACAAAGGATGTAAAAGTCTACACAGAAAAAGAGTACTCTGAAAAAGGAGACTGAAGAGGTCACTAGAAAATGGAAAGGTATCCTTTGCTCTTGGATATGAAGAACCAATATAGTGAAAATGGCCTGTCATGGTTTATGTCTGTGTCCCCCAGGCCTCATGAGTTTGCATTGTGTATTTGTGATTGGTTCATTGTCTAGTGCTTGGATTGATGATGTCAGTGCTCCACCAACATAGAGATGGAGCCAGGATGTGATGTAATGGCATGAAGAAGGTGTGTCTTGCTCTTTGCTAGTTCTGGCTGCTGTTTTGCAGCCGCCATGAAGTGGGGCCCAGCCATGCCCACCTGCCTTGGAGCCAACTGAGTGTGGACTGAAACCTCCAAAAATTGTAAGAAATAAACCTTTCCTTTCCCAACTTTGGGCTTCAGGTATTTTGTCTCAGCGATGAGTAAAAAGTAACTAACACATGGCCATACTTTTCCAAAACTGTTATACAGATTTAATACAGTTCTAATCAAAATTCAAACAGCCTATCTCACAGAATTAGAGAAAACAATTCTAAAATTCATTTGGAACCAAAAGAAACTGAGAATAGCAAAAGCAATTCTGGGCAACAAAGGTAAGGGAGGGGCATCACAATCCCTGACTTGAAACTACACTATAAAGCTACTCTGACAAAAACAGCATGGTACTGGCAAAAAAACAGACCAAAAGATCAATGGAACATATTGGAATGCACAAACAGCTCCAGACATACTAAGCCACCTTGCCTTTGACAAAGGTACCAAACACCTTCACTGCAAGAAAGACAGCCTCTTTAATAAATGGTGCTGGAAAAACTGGCTCTGTACATGACAAACATTTAAATTTGGCCATATTTTTCGCCCTGCATTAAGTCAAAATGGATTAAAGATCTAAATACTAAAACAGAAACATTAAATCTGCTGGAAGACAGAAGAGGTAAAATTCAAAGACAGTGGTGTAGGCAAAAATTTTATAAATAAAACATAATCACACAACTACCAAAAACAATGTACAACTGGGATCTCATCTTGTTAAAAAGTTTTTTCTTGTATAGCAAGAGAAACCACCAACAGAGTGAAGAGACAAACTACAATGGGAAAAAAATGCTTGCCAGCCATCCCTCAGACAAAAGATTACTATCAAGAAACAATTTTAAAAAATCAGACCTTCCAAATTTAAAGACACAACCCAAAAAGAACACACACTTCTCAGGTGAAGAAACACAAACTGCAAATAAATACATGAAAAACTGTTCAGCATCACTGGTTATTCAAGAGATGCAAATTAAAACAACACTGAGATTCCATCTCATGTCAGAAAGAATAACTATCATCAAGAAATCAACTAATAATAAATGTTGGAAGGGCTGTAGGGAAAAAGGAACCCATCTCCACTGTTGGTGAGGGTGTAGACTGGAACAATCACTGTGGAAATCAGTGTGGAGATTCCTCAAAAAACCAGGACTGGAGGTCCAATTTGACCCACCTATTCCCCTTCTGGATATCTCCCCAGAATTAAAAACATCATACCACAGTGATATACGTGCACCCATGTTTATGTAGCATAATTTGTGATAGCCAGATCTTAAAAACAACCCAAATGCTCATCAACCACGGAATGGATAAAAAAGATGTAGTCTTTTTATTCAATGACATACTACTACTTAGCCATAAAGAAGGATAAACTGAAGACTTTTATAGGTAAATGGATGCAACTAGAGACCTTACTCAAAACCACACACACCTGAAAAAATCATATTGTTTCCTTAGTGTGAGAAGCTGCAAGAGCACATAGGATTCAAAATGTAAAACAGGTATTGTAAAATGGGAAGAAACTTCAAAAGGAAAAGGAAATGAGATGGGGGAAATGGAGAAAAGGGGAAAAGCAAAAAAAAAAAAAAAATTTATATACACACACATAAGATAGTTAAAATAGTTATACTACTAATTTATCTTCGTTCACTGAAAAGGAAGGTTTGTGTGGGGCTGGGGATTTAGCTCAGTGGCATAAGCACCTGCCTTGCAAGCAGGCGGTCGTGAGTTCGGTCCCCAGTACCGATAAAAAATGAAAAAGACAAAAAAAAAAACAAAAAAAAAAAAAAAAGAAAGGTTTGTGCTAATATTGTTTGGACAATTAAATGCCTATGTCTGGTAATCTAAGTAATTTAAAAATAACAATATGCAAAGCATTAACCATTGTTATCCTATTATTTTGTCTTGAAATTTTCTCTTCAAAATCTCTTCATTTTACAAAGAATCACATATTAGAAACTGCCTTCAAAAAGAAATTGTCTTGAAGTATTTGTGTTGTTCTAGGTTTTTTTTTTTTTTTTTTTTGGAGACAAAAGTCTCTCTATGTAATGCCAATTGGCCTTTAACTCACTTATGTAGCCCAGGCTGCCCTCGTACTCCTGGTGATCCTCCTGCCTCAGCCTTCCATGTGCTTGCCCTCAGCTGCTTAAAATGAGTGACTCTTAAAATTTTTTCTAGGTTTGATGTAGGAAGCCATCTTATGTTCTAATTTAAAATTATTAAGTAAAGATTAATTGAACTCTAAGAACACTGCCAACAAAGAATTTTTAAAACTTTTGGGGAAATAAGACTTCTAACTAAAGCTGAGATTTTCAAAAGATAGGTTCAAAGACTTTAAAATAGTCAATTATAAACCAAAATAAGGTAAAATTAAAATGCTGTTGGGCCTTGTCATTCATACACCCTATTTCAGAAGTTCAAAAGAAAACTTAAATCAATCATTTCAATCCTGGTTAGAAATACATAAAAGGTGGGCAGGTCTGTTTCCAGGCAAATCTCACATTACAACCTACCAGATATCTGCTTTTCTGCCATAGCCTTCTCCACTTATGACTTCGGGGCTCATCCAGTATGGTGTTCCTGTGACGGACTTCATTCCTGTTCCCGAGAGGCAGATGGTCTGAAGACGTTTGCTGGCCCCAAAATCTCCTAGTTTAACATTGCCTGTTGAGTCTCGTAGGATATTTGCACCTACAAGTAAAAAAAGGAGCTCATTTCACTTTTTTACAGTCATTCTAGAATACAGTACAAAAGAACAATGACAAAGAATTTACCGCCAAACCAGGCTGCCTTTCATCTCTCCAAGCAGGACCTGGATGCACTCATCACACAGTAGATGCTCAATAGGAATATGCTGCATGAACTACGAATTTTTAACCCGCTATGTTTATGAAGGACCTAGGAAGGCTGTTCTGCTGAAAAGAACTGGATGGGGAGTGTAGGTAAAGAGAAGGGGGAAAGGGCGAAGCACAAAGGTTGAAGCACTAAGGAAGCACAAGCCGCTCATGGACCTTGTTTGTCATAAAGCAAAAAGCACTTGACTAAATAAAGATGATTTCCCTGAGAAGTCATGTTTTCCTCAGGAAATTCCCAAGAGACTTCATAATCAAAAACTTCTAGTACTTTTTCCCTCATTTCTTACCCTGAATTAGTTATCCTGCATTGTACTTTGATTTATATTAAATTTACTTCTCAATTTATGTCTATATTTTAAATGCCTTTTAAGTAAGTTTTAAGCTTTTCATTAAGTTTTAAAATTTCATTTACTTTTGTGAACTTTTTAGACAGCTTTAGAGTTATAGAATTGTTTATTATTTTACAGAGATTAAAAGAAAACAATAAATATAAGACAAAACAATAGAAACTACATAGGTCTTCAAAACAAGTTGATAGAAAATTAGTAAGTCAGAGGCTGGGGATTTAGCTCAGCGGCATAAGCACCTGCCTTGCAAGCAGGCGGTTGTGAGTTCGATCCCCGGTACCGATAAAAAGGAAAAAAACAAACAAACGAAAATTAGTAAGTCACTATATTGCATATGAGTTAGAGAACTGTTGCAAAATAAGACAGAGTTCCTATATCCCCTAAACTATCTTGCCTATTATAAACATCTTACGTTAGCACAGTATATTTGTCATAATTATTGAAACAGCACCATATTATTAAAGTCTCTATTTCTGTACCTCAATTTTTCCCCTAACATCTTATATCTGTCTCAGGATTTCACACTACACTACGTTTAGTCAAGTCTCTTTTAGGCTTCTCCTAGGTATGACAGTTTCTCAGGCTTTCCTTCTATTTTGATGGCCCTTGCATTTCTGGGAATCACTGACCACATTTTTATAGAATGTCTCTCATTTAGGATTTGTCTCATTTTTTAATGCATTATACTGGGATTAGGAAGTCTAGGGGATGAAGATCAGAGGTGAAGTACTACTGTCATCACATGCCATTATAGGAGCATACTGAGTAGAGGATTATGCTCTGGCACTTATTCTGAATTGTCCCATTTCCTCCACTTTATTAAATCATTAATTTTTATCACTGTGAGCATATGGGTATATATTTTATACTTTGGGTTGTATTCCAGTACTACTTTACTTGCTGCTCTGTTTATACAAGGTTGGCCTTGGGAACTTCCATAGACTTTTCTTTTTGCTATAAACCCACTGTGTTCTTGTTTTGTACTTGCTAGCAGAAGAGTGCCTGGGATCATCTTGGTATCCACTGCTCAAGTCCCAGAATGAGCCATTTCTCCAAGGAACCCAGGTTCCTTTTAGTAGAAAGTGGTATTAAAAACAAGATTTTATATTCTAGGCTCATTTGCTTTTTATTCTCTACTTTCCCTACTATATTTTAAACTACTGTTTGTTTGTTGGTAGTACTGGGGACTGAACTCAGCACCTCTGCACTAAGCTACATCTCCATCACCTGTTTGTATTTTAAGACAGTGTCTTGCTGAATTGCCCAGACTGAGCTCAAACGTGCAACCCTATTTTGGACTTCGGGGATGCAAGGATTATAGGTATATGCCACCACTTCCAGCTCGAGCCAGTATTTTTCAAAGAATGTATGTCCGCCAAGGATGTAGCTCAGCGGCATTAGTGCCTGCCTGGCAAGCACGAGGTTGTGAGTTCAAACCCTGGTACAAAAAAAAAAAAAAAAAAAAGACTATATGTCCTATGTCCAGGTTCTGCCTTTAACAAATTATTTTTCATCTCATCTTTAGCTTTTTCTATAAACAACTTATTTTTTAAAAAGCTATTTTATTATCTAATTTTTGTTTGTTCATTTATTTTTGAGATAAGAATCTATGTAGTCCAGGCTGGCCTTGCACTCACTATGTATCAATTCTCCTGCCTCAGCCTCCCTAATGGTGGGATTACAAGTATGCACCACCACACCTGGCTACAAACTTTCACATTTTATTTCAGTACTTAAAATTTTAGGTCTTGTACAACCTTAAACATATTTTAAATTTTTTAGTCTTACCCAATTTTTAAAATTTTTAAATACTCCATATGAAGGAGGGCAAATAGTAGGAAATCTATACTACAGACTGGAGAAAATATAGACGGTCCAACTCCACCATGAGGTTCTCATCTTCCAAAATCTTTCCATCTACCTAATCAAGGATGGTTCTCCAAAGTCTCTCCAGGGAAGACGATAGTATCCATTTTGTATACACTTTAAGCCTAAATGTGCTACATTACCAGTAACCCTCTAAAATAGATAAAATAGTGCCTCCTCTCCTTTTTAAATATTTCTTACCTTTCAATACTTAAAAGAAGCACTCTTTTAAAAAAAAGTTACTATCCTTATTTAACCATTGCAAGGATCATAAGCCAGTTTCCGTTTTGTTTTGAGGTAAGGTCGTACTGTGTTGTCCACATGAGCCTCAATCTCGTTGACTTAAGTGATCCTCCTGCCCCAGTCGCCTTAATAGCCCTAACTACAGGTGTAGCTAGCTTAACAAACTGAATTTTACTGACTATAAGCAAGAAAGGAAGCATGCTCAGAAGACCACAGACAAGGGCAGCTATCTGTGGGGAGAAATCATCACTGCTCGTCCACAGGACGGGCTGAAGACCAAGTGAGAAGCTCAGTTTTCTCTGTGTGTAAGTGTGTATTGTAATTTGTTCTGTACATGTTAAAAGTTACTAAGGGGACTTGAGAAACATAAACAGAAGTAGAAGAAATCACATATGTTCCTAGCCTTAACATCTACCTGGACAATCTACCCAACTATATATTGCCACCTTCTCTCCCTTCATCTCACAGTGTTGGAATAAAACCAGGAACCATAATCAATTAAAAGTTTAGTACATGTCAGTCTGGAGATTTCTCAAAAAGCTGGGATTGGAAGTTTCATTTGTTCCAGCTATTCCACTTCTAGGTAGATTTCCAAAAGAATCAAAAACATCATACCACAGTAATTTATGTGCAGCCATCTTCATAGCAGCACAATTTGTAATAGCCAAATCTTGGAAACAACCTTAAGTGTCCATTAACTGAGGAATGGATAAAAAAGATGTGGTATTTTTATACAATGGAGTACTACTCAGCTATAAAGAATGATCACATTGAGATATTTATAAATAATGGACACAGCTTGAGACCATACTCATAAGCGAAATAAATCAAACTCACATGTACACATACTGAATAGTTTCCCTAGCCAAAGAAATGATAAGAATACATAAAAGTATGTGGTAATCATGATTCCCCATTACACTGCTTTGAAGCCTTACATTTTCATTCATTAGTTGAAATGGTTTTATTCTGGGTTGTTTGATTTTATTGTCTGTGATGGTATGAACAGCTATTTTCAAGAAAACAAGACATTAATAATAGCTAATGCTGATTTAATATCATCTTGTTTTGAAGTCCCACCAAGCTTTTGTTCTTCTGTCTCCATGGGTTTTATCATGTTGTATGCTTTTGGATTTTATTATATGTGATAGTATAAACGAAATTTTTATGGACAAGGAGATAATACAGCAACCATTGTTTATTTTCTGTTAGTTGGTTCTGAATACCCTGTAATAATTTCATTCTCTTGAATGGTTTTACACTGTTTTGTTATATTTGATACTATAGTGTATGAAGGTCTATTCAAATATTTCAAGGAAAGAGACACTATAGTAGCTACTGTTATGTCCAGGTGTCTTGTGGTGAAACACTATGTTACTTAAATTGTTCTGTTCTGACCTGTTTTGTTATGTCCTCTTTTATCTTAATCTTTTTTCAAATAAAATAAAAAATTAAATTAAATGTAAAAAAAGTTCAGTACATGTCTTTAAAAGACAAGGACTATTATCACATCTAAAAAGATGAAGTTTTTTATTTTTAATATTATCAAAATATAATAGCTATTCAATTTTTTGCACACATACTAAAAAAGAAAGGAAAAAACCCCCTTAGGCCCACACAATGAGCCTCACTGATACATCCTTTATTTTCCCCCTTTCCCTTGCTGGCTATGTCTTAAGGGGGCATTTTGACATGCTCATCTGCCTTATATAATAAACCTGTTGAAATTTAACAGCTGAATCCAAAGATTTGGTAAGATTTAGGGGGAGTAAAATTAGATAATGCTGCATTGCAAACTGTCTCTGTATTTGTCATGTTGTTGTTCTTTTCCCTTACCGTTTAGAAGTTGTTTATAAATATTGGGAAATACTAAATTTTTTACTGAAAAAGTAAAAAACAATTCTCTTGCCATTTGGTGATAACCACTGATAATTATAAGAAAATTTTTCTTCTGTGTTATATTTAAATTTTACAAACATGAGATCACATTTCACTTTTGTATCTTTTCTCCCTCATCAATATATTTTCCTTATAATATTTAAAATCAGCTTGCTTCTATGTTCCTCAATAGGCCAACGTGGCTCTTAACTCCTTCCAACAACATGGAAGACATTCACACAGGAGGTTGCTATTCTGGCTTCTATCTAGGTGTCACCCCCAACCCCTAAGCCTTAGGTGTCCACAGGTGAGACTTTGGGGAAGTGGCTGGATGTAACATATGTGACACTACAATTAAGGGTGTGTAATATCTGCATTGTTTCCCTAACTGGATTAGCATAATTTTAGGTACAGCTGGATGGATTTATGATGATGGAAGCCACACCCTTGGTGCAGGTGACACCAGCAATAGGCTTGTAGCCTGGATGTACTACTAAGGGACAGAAAGAAGGCAGGCTGCTGCTTGCAGTTTTGCTGCCTCCTGGCTGCCCTACAATAGACTATTTCTCCTCTGTCATGCTACCTTGCATTGGAGCCAGAGAACCATGGACTGAAATCTCTACAAACTGACAACTAAAATAAACTTTTCTGCTTTGTGATAACTAAGACAGTCACTCCTTTAGTTCCTCTCCCTTGCCTTATTCTGACTGTCAACAAGCAACTTGAATTATTCCTAAGTGAGTAACTTTTCTGTGAAATTCTTGATCTTTACGTGATTTTAAATGTCATCTCAACAAAAAGTATGTCATCACTGTAGCTAACTTTTGAGTGTTTTCTAGATATCAGGCACTGTTTTAAGTAAAGCACACGCCTTACTTAACTCACTTAATTCTTGTAAGGATCCTCCGTAAGAATGCAGAATGAAGCACAGAGACTAGATGACTTGATCAAGGTAACAGAGTCTTAACAGATAAAGCCTGAATTTGGTGTGTGCATGTGTGTTGGAGACAGGATTTTGCTACACAGATCAGGCTAGCCTCGAACTTACTTTGTAGCCGATGTTAGCCTTGAACTCACAGTGACCCTCCTGCCTCAGCCTCCCAAGTGCTAGGACTACAGGTATTTACCACCACGCCAAGTACTGCCTGAATTTGAATCAGACTGCCTAGCAGCAGAGCTCTAACCCTTAATCACTCCCTTCCAATGCCTATGCAATATATATTAACATGGGGTCTCACTTATTTGGCCCTTTAACTTTACTGATTTGTGAACTCCCAAAGTGCAGCCACTCATTTGTGAAAACCTAAACATCAAAACTGGTCTGATAGTTCATGAGAAAAGCAGAACTGTTTTAGAGCAGATGCGTACATTTAAATGTTAAATGTCTTAGGCACATCATTTGTTTTATTAATAAAGAATTGTGTAAAGTAAAAAGTACCTCATTACTTACCTTTAATATCTCTATGGACAATCATATTACTATGCAAATAATGGACACCCTCCAGAATCTGACGTGTGTATTTCCTAGTCACATTCTCAGTAAGAGCTCCATATGCTTTTAATTGGTCCTTGATTGAGCCCTACAATAAAAAAGAACCATAAAAATTGTGATACAGTTTGAAATGAAAACTGGTATTAAATACTTATTTTTAAAAGAGTCCTAGTTCATGACTGGGAGGCTGCATCTGGAGAGAGCAGATATTATCACTAATAGTACAATATGCTCATGCAATTAAAATAAGTCATCTGCATTCTCCAGAACTGTGGGGCAAAGTATATGTCATAGCTGAGAAGCAATTAAAGCTGTTTTGACTGGTGCCCTTGTTTCTATGATTATGTTGGTTCTATCTCCTGTTCCTTACAATTCTGTTTTGCAGAATTCTCCACTACTTTTATCTTGTTTTACTTTTCCCTAACAAGTCTTTATTTTTCCTATTAATCCCTTTAAGTATGTCATACCTGAATTTATTTTGTTCTTACTCTATGTTTTAAAGTGAATTTGTGTTGTATTGACATCTACTGATTTCTTAGGAGAAAGAAAGGGTATGATGAGAAAATCAGAACGTATAAGAGTTTTCTGTTGTCACTTTATATAGCCAACATCTAGTTAAAAACATATGAAAAAATACAATAAAGAGGAATTTCATATTTTCTCAAGTGTATTTTAGGCCAGGAAGAAGTTCCTTTTCCTGAGAAAACTGAGTCAGTCTGAGACATTACATAGGAATTTGTCTTGTTTTGGCTTCCACAGTGCAAACTGGCTTTGAAAGAAGCCTGAACTACTCCTGCATGCTTCAGCCTCCAGAGGGCTGGAGTCACAGGTGTATACTGCCACATCCAGCTCAAGACAAGCACTGAATTTTGAAAAAGCTTCCCCAGTGATTCCAACACACAAGTTCAATTACTACAACTCTAATGGAAACAAAATGCTTCCCAAGAGACAAACCTATTTCTTAAACAAGAAAATATACTAATGTTTCTACCTTTCCTTGAATTTTGTACTCTGTTACAGTAAGCTATGGATCCCTGGATTTCAAAGACTTAACCATTTACTGTTTCTACTATTCATGAGTGATTCTTGCAAGGACAGGAGTATGTAACTGTGCACACATACATAAGGAATGTCAATTACTCACCTCTATCATTTATTGTGGTCTGTTTACTCACAATCTTTTTACTGTGTCTCCAACCTGTAGTACCACACTGAATAACTCTGCTAAAACTGAACTCTCCAAACAGTAGGCACAATAATAATTGGGTCCTCTGGCCAGCTGGGTCAGTGGCCTATGGCTTTTAACAACTCCATCAGTGTTGTCTATTTACCCATCTATAAAATGTTAACTTCTGCTAGACATGATGGCACATGCTTGTAATCCTAGCCTTCTGAAAAGCTGAGAGGATTGCAAGTTTGAGACCAGGATGCGCTATGTAGTAACATAGCAAGAAATTAAATTCTTTTTTAAAAAGTGGTTTTGTTTTAAAGGCCTGGGGGTATAGCTTACTATAAAGGAATTGGCTTCAATCCTCAGTATAGAAAACAAGCAACTATCTGTCTATCTATCTATATATATATAAAACTTCTGCAGTGTGTACAATTGGAATGGTTTAAAAACTGTGCAGCAAAGAGAAACAGAGACAGAAAGACAGAGACAGAGTGAAAATTCAACTGCTTTTCTCAGTCCCAAATACTAAAAATAGTAAAAAGCTATGATCCCAAATCTGAAAGTAGTTCTAGATATACTAAAGAATGCAGTGCTAAATTTGGAAAAACTGAAAAATGGATGTCCTTACAAAACCAAGTATAGTGAATGAGAAATATGCCCAAACAGCACTTGAATAGTCCTGTTTTTGCTTGAAGATTATATGCTAAGTGTGTAAGGATTATATACCTTGATTTGTGATGTAAATCAATTTCAATCATTTAATTTTATCTTACCTTTGACAATGTGGGTTTCTAGATCTACTCGTTCATACTTATTTTCTATTGTAATTTAAATGTTTATCACAAAGCAGTAATAAAAATTTGAATTTTATTTTATTTTATTTTATTTATTTATTTATTTTGTCTTTTTCCTTTTTATTGGTACCGGGGATCGAATTCACAACTGCCTGCTTTCAAGGCAGGCAATTCAACGAATTCACAACTGCCACTTATGCTGCTGAGCTAAATACCCAGCCCCCAATTTATTTTATTTTACTTTATACCTGTAATGCCAGCACTCGGGAGGCTGAGGCAAGAGGATCGTTGTGAGTTCGAGACCAGCCTGAGCTACAAAGTGAGCTCAAGGCCAGCCTGAACTGCATAGTGAGACCCTGTCTCAAAAATACAACAACAAAAAAAGTACAAAAGGCTTACTGTGGAACAGGAATAACTTCTGAGAGACAGAAAGGGCCCCAATTGTGTTGCTGCCCAGAAATCTTAATTTTTAAAAATCTACCACAATCCCAATACAATATTTTTTCATCTAAGTTTCTTTTGTCCTTGTTCAAATACAGATTTCATAATCATTATTAAAAAGCATTCTGCATTATTTTCCTCTCATTACAGATATTTCCTCTAATTCACTACACAACTTCATAATTTAATTTTTAGCATCTATTCTGAGAGTGCCATCATAATTCACTTCCATTGTTTCCAATCACAGATAATACTAAAATAAATGTATAAAATAATCTCCTTTCAGGCTACTTGTAAAAAAACATCTCTGTAAGACTATCAAATCATATAGCTTCAACATTCCTATTATTTTTAATAGGGACTACATATTCTTAATTTGTTTTCCAAGTAGCATTTTTTCAAACAAACTTACACTGAAAATATGACACTTTAACAATATAAAACTCTTTAAAAATACACCTATACTACAAACAAAACTCCTTTTTGTAACATACATTCCCCATTTGAGACTGTATGCTTTTTATTTCTTCTCTTTTTTGACATGGGGTCTTACTATATTATCCAGGCTGAGCTCAAACTTCTTAGCACAAAGTGGGATTACAGGTGTGTTGCCACTGTACTTCAGTTACATGTATTTTTAAGTGAGTAAATATGCCAACCACCATTTTGAAAATCATCAGTATTAAAATTTAGTGTATCAATGGAATGATAAAAGGTCCTAAATTTCATTTTGCAACTTCAAATGAAATTATTTACTTGAGGGCTGAGGATATAGCTCAGCAGCATAGCACTTGCCTGTCAGGTGGAGGTTCTAAGCTCAATCCCCAGTACCAAAAAAAAGAAGAAGAAGAAATTATTTACTTGAGTGATGACTATCAGTCAGTGTTAAAAATACTAGGCATTAAAAAACACTAGATAAAGCACTGAAATCTACAGTGAGGGTTTATCTTAAGAGTAGAACAGCCGCTTACCCATGTAGAAGGGTTTAATTGCTAGCACTAAAAAACTAAACAAAACAAAAACAGAATGCTAGGTGGAGGACTGGAAAAGAACTGAATATCCATAAGTATCTCTGCTATACTTCAGATTACTTTCTTGTCTACAGGAAAACACAAAACTCTACAATAAAGGAATCAGAATGTCAATCACTCTAATCAAAATTAGTATCATGACTGTGGAATAGCTAGAAATTATGTGGTTCTGATGGGATGCCATTTAATATACACAGTCATCTGATATATCCAGTAAAAAAGGATGAATTGGGCCGGGGGTTTAGCTCAGCCACATAAGTGCCTACCTGGCCAGCATGAGGTCATGAGTTCAATCCCCGGTACCAGAGGGAAAAAAAGGATGAATTATAATCTATCTTAAGAGTTTACAACTAATTCAGAGTTCACAGGAAATAAGGGAAATTCTGTTAAAGTCATATAATATAAAACTGGACTGTTAAACATAAAAGTGGAAGTTGGGAACATAATAACTAAATACAATGTACAGCCCCAGACTAGAACTTGACTTGGATAAATATAGAAATTTTTAAGATGCATGAGAAACTATGATGTCTATAACCTCCTCTAGGATATTTCAGCATTAATAATTAGAAAAACACAAAGATGAAGAGGATTATTACCTACCGCTAACTTAAAACTTCCAAAACATGTTTAACTAGGGTTAACATTTTATAATCAAAATTTTTATTCCTTCTTTTCAACAGACTTTTTAAATACAAAGATTTTTTTTTTAAAAAAAGGGTATGTGAACTTACCCCTGGCATATATTCCATAAATATTGAAAGTGTCTTTTCCTGGGGATCCCTCAAACAGCCATAATACTGAACAATTCGCTCATGCAGTAAGTTTTTCAACAACTGAATTTCACATTCAAGTGCATTTACTTCCTGGAAGACAAAACTCACTGTGAAATCTTTATAACACTGTTTTTGTAGAAGCAAAAAAATAGTAACTTGAGGAGCTATACCGAGAATTTTATTCTGAAATATTTATTTTCTGAAGAACAAACTATTTTAAAATCTCTAATCAGTACATTTTTCTTTTTCTTAGAACTAGAGATTAGACCCAGACCCTTCACATTGATTTACATTACATTCCAGTCTCTTTAAATTTTCTTTATTTACAAATACGGTGTTGCTAAACTGTCCAGGCTGGGCTCAAACTTGTAATCCTCCTGCCTCAGAATCCCAGAGTGCTGTGATTACAGGCATATGCCATCAATCCAGCTTTCACCAATAATTTTTTTAACAATCCCCAGTAGTGTACTGAAACAATACTAAATTAAACTAGCAATACAACTTTGGTACTAAAAAAGAAATATTCATAGTGCAAAGTAGATAAGTACATCTAATTATCAAGTTGTCTTACAAATCATTTGTGTTACTCTGTATTTTATTATTCTGTTTTTAGCACAGATGGTTCATAAAATGTGACAAAGCAGACTGTGTAGTTATTTTTACCTTGCTGGTCTCAGGGCTATCAGGATCAAACTGGACTTGCTTAACAGCCAGTTCTCTTCCTGTATCAACATCGTAACAGAGGTAAACTCTGCCAAAGGCTCCTTGGCCAAGCAGTTTGCCCAATCTCCAGTTGGTTGGAGCACGAGGTGCTGAAAAAGAACACTTTCTTAAATTGAAACAGTTAATGGCCCATGAATGATTAAGGACTATACAAATATGTTGCTAGCAATATCCTTCACTGAACATGCTTGGGTACAAGGAAAAAATGAGGACTCCAAATTCAAAATGGTCACTATCTTTCAAACTTTTTCTCTTCACTCAGCCGTCTAAGCTTGTAAACTCAAATAAATTCATTCACGTGACTTACCTTTTCCAATGAGATTCCCCCATTATAACTCAACCAAAGATGTAATAATTGTAAGATTATTGTCTAATCTTCACTTCCATCCTAACAATAAAAAAAATCTAGGTAATGTATAAAATTATAACCTTTACTGAACTTGTTGGAAAACAGACTGCAAGGACTTAACTTGCCAGAAATCAAAAGAAAAACAGATTCTTCCAAGGAGATACAAAGATTCACGCTGATAGGTAAGAAGAGCTCAGCTCCAAGCACACATCTGTAATCTCATCACTCAGGAGGCTGAGCCAAGGGCATGATGAGTTCAAGGCCTTCCTGCACTACACAGAAGAAGCCACTCCATCTTTAACTAGTAAGGGTTGGCATGAGAGTACTGAACCCATGGGCTATCATAGCACATGGTGATTTCACCCCTACTTAATGTTTTCCATGGAATGCCAGGTACTCATAGGAACAGAGGAGGTTTTCTAGGCTTTAATCAAAGCTTAGAAAAAAGAATCTCCCACTATTGTGGAAAAGGTAGAAGGTCCTTCCTAAACCTATATCCCTTATGAAATTAAGATCTCCAAACTACTAGAGGAATGGCAGCAAACCCTGTAACCTTCAAGTTAGGGAATGGGGAAAAAAAAATCTCTGGACCAAACAGCACAACGTAACTCTGGAAAAATATAAAGTTAGTGGTAAACAGGGCTCACCGATCATAGCAACAACAAAATCCAAACAAAGTTGCCTAACTATTCAGAGAATGACACTGTCCCTACAATAACGGCCTAGACAGAAGAACTGTGTCTAACTCCAGGTATGAATTCTATTTATAGCTCAGTCTCCACTGTCCTACACATAATATCTAGTTCTCAGTGTAAAATTACAAGATGCAAAAAGCAAGTAAGAAAATGAATGAAAAATTAGCATAACCCAAATAAAGAGAATCAGGAAGCTTAAAATAAACACGATGAACATATTAAAGTTCTAGTAGAAAAGGTGGATGACATGAATGAACAGATGAACTTTAACAGAGACACAAAAACTGCTGGACACAGTCAAATGGAAAAACTTGAAGTTGAAAAATACTGTTTTCAATAGGTTCACAAATAGGTGCAAGAGAAAATCAATTACCAAGCTTGGAGGATCCTGGGAAGATGGTGGAACAGTAAGCAGCAGAGTAAACAGTTTCTCTGAGAGAAACAGTCCAGATGCTTAGAATATAGCATCGTGGGCAAAACAAGAAGAAAGGAAGTGGGTCCCCTCAATGCAGGAAGAACCTAGACTGAGAACTGAAGCCCAGAGAGAGAATTTAAAAAAAGAAAAAACTTAAACAGAAGAAGGTGGCAGCTGGTGGCGCTTTCACTCAGAGCAGAAAGGACCATGCGAAAAATGCTGTTGGAACCTGGGGACACATGGTCACAGTGAAGGTGGTGGCTGGCAAGCCCAAAGGCCTCTCTAGGGAGATGAGGTGGCAGAGGGGAACAGCAGACCAGAGAACTGCACTGGCTGGTGGTAAGAATGGGGGACTCAGTCCTCCTACAGAAGTGAGCCATTGGCCGGAAGCCATTTTGGAATTGGGCAGGATAAGCCCAGAGCCAGAAATGCAGCCAGCTTCAGCCATTCCTAGCTCAGAGCAGACTGATGGAAATCGCTTGGACTGAGTCCCACCCCTGTGTGCAATCCAACAGTCACCACGGAAGTTTCCCTAAAGCTATCCCCAACCAGCTCTACCTACCTTGAGCATACTAAGGTGGTGAGGGCTACCTGAGGTGAAACAGCTCAGGAGGGAGGTGCCAGCCTGCCTTGCCCCTGCTTGCATTCTGCTAGCCCTGTACCAGTACATCCAATGGTCACCATCAGATATCCCTAGCCAGCATGCTTCAGAGAAATTATAACCAACACAGGAAATGCCAGGGACCCCACTACTGACTTGTCTGGAAAAAACTAGGAACATGACAAGAGGAAGAATAAAAGGCAGTCTCTGGCCTCCAATCCAAGCAGTACTGGTCCGGGAGATGTAAACACAGAAGAGATCAGGAGTTGCACACCTGAACTTTCTGAAACAATAGCAACTGAAATAAAGAAATAACTTCAAGAGGCTAAAAGAACTTAGAACAGAAATACTGTCTCAGGTAAAAGAAGAAATGAGAAACATAATAAAAGAATTGCTAAGTACTTTTAAAGACACAGATGGAAGAATAGAGGAGCACAGAAAAATGAGAGAAACCTTCAATGAAGAATATAAAAAAGATTTAGAATACATGAAACAGATTCAAAGAGATTACCAGGAAATTAAAAACTCCATTGAAAGCTGGCAAAACTGCTTGAAAGATACTAAAGATAGACCATCAAACCTTAAAGACAGGTTTGCAGCTTGTGATCACAAAAGGAAAGATCTCTTAAAAATAACAAGGAACCAGGAAGTAACAATACAAAGGTTAGAAGATGACAAGAGGATCTATAACATAATAATACAAAATATGAATGAAGAAGCAGAGATAAACACAAATGAAATACAAAGGCTATTTACAGAAATAAAGAAAACTTCCCAAGCATAGGAAAAGGAAATGATATTCAGATAAGTGAGGCATATAGAACTCTAGCCAGCTATAACCAAAATAGATCTATACCTAGGCTTATAATAATCAAGATCCCAGAAATTCAACACAAGAACAGAATAATTAAAAGCTGTCAGAGAAAAGAAACAAATCATCTACAAAGGAAAACCCATCAGAATCATGATAGACTTCTTGACAAAACCATCAAATCAAGAAGAGCTTGGAGTGAAGTATTCAAGTCCTGAAAGAAAATAACCTCCAACCCAGATTGATGTACCCTGAAAAACTGTATTTCAAAATTAATGAAGAAACAAGATGCTTCCATGACAAAGAGGAACTGGGGGAGTTCATGACCACCAAACCAACCCTACAAAAAATACTAATGGATATTTTAGAGAAAAAGAATAAAGACCATGGTTTCAGGAACAGCAGCAGAGAGGGCTCACTGAACAGGGAGGACAGTGGAATAAAGGGCAAAAGTAAACAACCAATGGCAGAAAAATAGCATGGCAGAGAAGGTTGGCCATAATCACTAATATAGATGGCCTTGATTCACCAATTAAAAAAAGGCAGAGTGGATCAGGAGATAGGGTCCATCAATGTGCTTTACATAAGAAATATATTTAACTGGGAAGAGGGTTTATAGACAAAGTCAAAGACGAGAAAACAATGTGACAGGGAACCAGAAAAAAGTGGGGATAGCTTGCCCATCAGCTGCAGATTGGTTAGAAAGCCATGACATTTTTATACAATGGAAAATTACTTAGCTATAATGAAAGAAAACCTTGAGCCTCTTGTAGGCAAATGGATACAACTTGAGATCATGCTCCGGGTTAACAAGGTTCAGAATCACCTAGGTGAATAGTGGGTTGCTGCCCTAATATAAAAACTAAAAGAGTTAATGGGATCCAAAATGTACAATACATTCTGTGAAAGTGAAAAGGGAAGGAATTGTCTAAAAAGGAAAGGCAGTGGCCATTTTTAATCCATTACCATAATTTGAAACCCACATTGTTTTCATTGTTCTGTTTAGTTTGGTTTTATTCTGTTTCAGTTTGTCTACTTGTATTAGATTTGATGGCATGGACAGCTGTTCCAAAGATAGCAAGATATATTATGATAACCAGTTTTGATTTCCTATTAGCTTGAATTGAAGCCCTGTTTTGCTTTCACTGCTTTGTTTTGATTGATTTTATTCTATTCTGTTTTGTTTGCTAGTATCAAGTCTGATGGTATGGGCAACTACTTTCAAGACAATAAGATACACTACAATACCCCTCTGGTTTGACTATTATCTTCTTTTGAAGTCCTATAATGTCTCCAATATTTTGTTTTAATTGGTTTTGTTCTGTACTGTTTTGTTCAATTTTATTATGCCTGATGATATGGGCAATTCTTTTGAAGATAACAAGAGGAATTACGGTAGCCATTATTGATTTCACTGTATTTTGTTTTTAAGTCATGTACCATGTTGATCCTTTTGTTTTGATTGACTCTATTTTGTTTTGTCTCATTTGGTGTTATTCTCTCTAAAATAAAGTAAAATGCAATTTCTCAAGCTCACTGAGAAAAATAAACAATGAAAAAAAGGATAACACAGAATCACATACCTCATTATGCAAGTAATCAGAATCCCAAAAGAAAAAATGGAGTAGAAATAATTGGAGGTATACTTAAGAAATTTTTATAAACAAATTATAACAAATCAAACAATATGATTATGGATATCAAAGAGAAAATCTTAAAACAGGCCAAACAGGGAAAGTGATAGTATAAGAGAGAGGAGACAAAAGTTATACACTTCTCCTTAGAAAGTATATAAGCCAGAAGACAATGGTGAAACATCTTTAAACTACTGCAAGAAAAAAAAAAGAAAAATATAGCTGGGCATTATGATTCTCCCTATCCACTCAGCATTCTGGGAGGTTGAGGCAACAGGATTTCAAGTTTCAGACCAGCCTGGGCACTAGCTCGGTGACTTAGTAAGACCTTGCCTCAAAAAATTAAAAGGGCCAGAGATATAACTCAGTGAAAAGGTTCTAAGTTCAATCTCAGTACCTTAAAACAAAACAGTATCCTAAATTCTATAGCCAGAAATAAAAAGTATTTTTCAGAAACAAAGAAGAAATAAAGATCCGCTCAAACATTCAAACAAACAAAAGCTAAAGCAATTCATTACCATTAGACTTATATTAGAAGAAAGGTTAAATGCAATTTTTCAGGCAACAGGAATCTGACACTTAACGTACTCTGGATCTACATAATCAAAGATCTACACAAAGATATTTAAGATTTATGTAAGACATATAAAAATTTTCCTCTTATTTTTAATTACTTTTGCTTTAGTTGCCTATAACAAAAATAATATAGGTATAGTGTAAAAGTAAAAAAAAGGCAATACTAACACAAAAAGGAAGATTTTAGAGAATGCAAATTTTGATGGAATAAATACCTTTGAGCACAAACCTTGTATGCATTTTTTTACATGACGAAGCCCAAACAATTTGCAATCTGTCATCCTCTTTCCATTATTTAAAGTAAAATATTGCCCATGTTTGGAAAAACAAACTATTCGTTTTCAGAATATCTATGGTTTCTTGTACATGCTACTCTTTAATTCATGAATTAAGATCTGAATTAAATGTTATACTATTATTATCTCTATATATACTACTCTCCTTGTTAAGACTAGTATCTTAGAGGTCATGTATGAGATCTCAGTGCTAAATATTCAACAAGGGTATGTGGAATGGAATAGATGAAAATATGACTGGCCATTAACAATTTTCAAATAAAAACAAACTGCAGATTTAACTGAAGTATTTAGCAGCAATATTTATTTATTTTTTGAGATAGAGTCTCGCTACATAGCCCAGGCCAACTTCAGACTTGCAGTGATCCTGCTGCCCCAGCCTCCCAAATACAGGGATTATAGGAGTACACTACTATGCCTGGCTAGCACTACCATTCTTACACCTATCATTCTGGCCATCTTTAGAAACATCACTGTTAACTGTTTCTTTTTGCCTAGTGGTGCTGATAACTGAATCCCAAGCCCGGAACATGCAAAACAGGTACTCTACCATTGAGCTCCAAACCCCAGCTCTCAATTATTAACTCTTTAGAGGAGTCTGTCTCACCTTGAGGACTCATTTGGCAGTTATTCCTGTTTAAAAAACTCTGCAAAGGTCCTGTTAAGCACTTCACTATAACAATTCTTACTACTTACATCGGCTGGGCGGGCTGATATCCATCACAGTCAGTGTAGGATTGTCTATATCACTTCCCCTCCTTCTTATCCGACTCTCATCGTATTCTGGAGTGAAGATGCTGCTCCCACTACTAGTGCTTAAGGAGTGATCGGTGGGACTAAAACTCACAGGAGACCGAAAGCTAGTCCCCTGGGTCCTTCTAGCTCTTGGAAAAGTTTTGCGACCTAAAAAAAGGAAAACAGAATTGTTTTACTTTTATTAATGTACTGTACTTTCAAGTATTTACAATTTGTAGTGCAGGGAACATAAATCTTTCCTGTGATGAGGCTACAGAATTGAAATGGCAATGATGGAAATGACTGTAGGGAAGAATACTAGGACCTGAATACAAATTCAGATCCTAATAAATGTTCAGATGTACACACACATGAAAACTATGAAATACTAGCCCTTCACTTTTCAATAAAAAGATGAAAAGATTGTATTCTCATTTCTAGTAATGACTTTAAAATATAAAACAAAAGCTAGACATGATTATATATGCCAGTAATCCCAGAACTTGGAAAGCTGAAATAGAGTCACCATGAGTTTGAGGCCAGTCTGGGCTACATAAAGAGTTCAAGACCAGCCTGAACTACATAGTGAAATGCTGCCTCAAAAAACATACAGATGGATATGCATGCCTACATTCAATACAATAAAATATAACATAATATAATATAAAACAAAAATCAGGAAGTTATAAGTAGCATATTTTTTCCCTAACAGGACAATTCAAGTATCAATTTTATAGCCAAGGAGTAATCTTCTAATTAGTATCATTTGAAAATTACTATATTTAAAGGAAAAACAATGCCATTAGAGCCCGGCATGGTGATGTATGCCTGTAATCCCAACACTTTGGAGGTTGAAGCAGGAGCATTGCTACAAGTTTAAGGCCGGCCTGGACTGCATAGTGAGTTCAAGGCCAGCCTGAATTATACAGCAAAACTCTGTCTCAAAAAAAAGCTACAGGTTTTAGCAAGGACTGAGTCTCCTTAAAAACAGCTGTTTAGCCAGAAAGACTCAAGAACAAATTTATTTCTCAACAGTACTATAAAAACTATAAAAACATGAGATTTTAAAACTTCCCTGAGGTTTTTAATGAATTGTCATTGTGATCTAATTACCAGGAACTTACCATCATTATATTCTTGATGATGATATGAAACATGATACCTTCTTGGATATGTTCCTCCCTTCCCAAATTTCTCAAAGATAGGGTTATCATAGTCTGTTAAGACATATATGAAAGCTATGTTATAAAAAGTCAAAGTTTTAGTGATAAAAAGCACATTGACAACTATTTTGAGTTTTAAAAAATTTCTCCCTCCCTCCCAGCCAAAACATTACTATGATATAAACTTAAATATTTAGAATTTATATCATCTAACCTGAAAAGTCCTGATGATTATCTGGGTAGCTCTGTGCCCTAGGCATTCGTGATTTTGGATAGCTCTCTCTATAAATACAAAATGCCACATTAAGAGAATGAATGCAAATAAAACAAGTAAAAGATAAAAGATCTTAAAGCCATATTATCTGTATCCATCTATATGTGTGCATGTCTATGTATAAAGGAGCTCACTCTCAAATAGTAACATAATTAAAAGAAAGAGAAGCTTCTTTTTAAACATTTGTTTGGTACATATAGCCAAAGAGCCTGACTTTTAAAATTTACCTGCAAAATAATTGGGTAAGAATAATAAGGTTTTTCGTTTTGTTTTGTTTTGTTTTGGTACCGCAATTGAACTCATGACCTCAAATTTGCCAAGCAGGCGCTTACGCTACTGAGCTAAATCCCCGACCCAAGCATAGTAAGTTTTGGAAACACAGATGTTTAGAAACACTGTTGTTTCAGAGTTCTGTATAACCTTAGTAAATAATCCTTTGAAGATTGTTTTTGCATCTATACAAAAGGCATAATTATTTCCAACTTAGTAAATTTTTAGAAGTCAGGTGTTCAGCAGTGCGATCCAAATAGCTAAATACTCCATACATATTTCTAATTTCTCTGAATTTCTTAAGTATCTACCTTGCAACAGACACTGACAAATACAGAGGTTGTCTATACACTGATAAAAGAAAGTAAATGTAAATTCCCAAGTAGCATAAATTCTCATTTTAGAGTTTGCTTGTATAGGGATAATGATATTATTCAATGGTAAAGTACATGCCTCACATGCATGGGGCCCTACAAATTTGATCCTGAACTCCACGCACACGAAAAAAAAGCAAAAAGCCACCCAAAATCTTACTCTCATAAAGCAACTGTAAAGAACAAACAGGTTGGCATTCAAACAGGGAGACTGCAAACAGCTGTGTTCAATGATCCAAAAACATAATCTGTTAACAGGTGATTTCTTACTGTTATTTTTTTTTTGTAGTTCTGTATTACGTGTACCCTTACACCGCTTTGTTTTGTTTTGTGTTTTTCTCTTTTTCCTCTTAAATAAAATAAAATAAAATTAAAAAAAAAAAAAGAACAAACAGGTTGATTTTAACACTGGATGATTACAAAACCAATCTCCTACTGAGACCAGGAGAGGGCGCACTTGTAACAAAAAAATTCACAGATGCTCATGATCCTGCTCATAAATCCTCAATTTGTTATTTCACAAAAGAAAGGCAATTAACAAAAATTATTTCTCAGAATGAATATAATATCGAACAGGTGAAACAAATAAAGAAGCATCTAACACCAAATATAAATATATTAATGAAAAATTTGGTAAGATTTCATAAGCATAATTTAAAAATGTACATAAATTCTAAGTGTGCATATTTGCCTCAAACATACAACTTTAGTAAACAAAAATATTCCAAATATTATAACCAGATATCATTTGCCAACAATATGGACAATAATTAACTACATTCTTCTCAATATACCACAAAGTTACTGATAATTCCACATGCTTAGTGAGTATACATTTATCATACATACTAAATAAAATATAAAATAGCTGGATATAATGGGACACACATGTAATCCCAGCACTTGTGAGGCTGAGGCAGAAGGACTGCCTCAAGTCTGAGGGCAGCCTGGGTTAATAGTAAATTCAAGGCCAGTTTGAACCAGCAAGAACCTATCATAAAAAACAAAAACAAAAAATACCCACAAATAAGTAAAATATAAAACTATAAAATATAAAACTAAAATATAAATAAGTAAAATAAAAATATAAAATATAAAACTTACCCATCTAAAGGACTGTCAAGTGATGGACAACTTCCTGAGCCAGAATTTTCAGGGCTACTTAAAGATAATGGATCCAGCATCTAGGAAAATAAAAGAGTTCCAATATTATTCAATGTGATATACTCAAATGTGACACTTTGTTTTTTTCTTTAAAAAAAAGCTTTATTAAGATACAATTTATGAAACATAAAATTCACCCATTTAAAGTATACAATTTAATGGGCTGCAGTACACTGAAAGTGGTACACTGAACACTTCCAGTACCTCCAAAAGAAACCATGTGCCCAACCTAGGCACTCTCCAGAGTTAGACATCTTTCCACGTCCCAACTCTGATACTTCCTAAGAGAAAATACTTTCTGAATAGCCTGCCATGTTATGATTTAAAGTCAGAATACTTCCCATGATTTTGCCTACTGAACAATGACTGCACCCAAATGTAGAATGACTTTATACAGTGCCTGCTCCACTGTTAGTAAATGTTAAGCACTACCACGGAATGAACATTCAGTGCAAGGCTGAGGGAATAATGGCAGCTCCAGGAAAAATTTCAATGCTAGAAAACAGGTATTTTTTAAAACGGTATGGAAAATTCACAAACCTCAGCTTCATAAAAAATAGCTCACATTTTATTCTTTTAAGTATTAATTTAATGAGTTTAATCCCGGTACCAGAAAAAAAAGTATTAATTTAAAAAATCTGAGTGTTCATCGGAGGATTACAAAACAAATGCATTCACTTATGGAAGAACAATATAAGAAATAAGTTGTTTCAAAACATCAATAATATAGGGCAGATGTAAATTAATGGACCTTTTCTATATTTTGCTATTTTGTTCATCTAAGAAGAAACAGACACACACACATCTCCAGGTATCTGCCAAATCACACTGCCCATGACCAATAATCACTTGAAATGAAATGAAAGACAGCATCTGATTTGGGCTTACTTGGTCCATGCTCTCTGGAATGAACTCTCCTTCACTGTTGATGCTAGTGAAAGATCCATTCCGGGCAACCTGGTGTAATTCATCTGGAATGTATCCTGGGGGAGGGGAACTTCTATCTCTATTAGTGGGACCTCAAAGGAGAAAAAAAATGTAAGATTTTGTAAGTATCATTAAGGAAATTACTTTATGTTTAAATAGTGTATTATTTCTGAACTATATAAAAAATAATTTTAGCAGTATTTATTAAAAGTTACCAGAACATTCAAATGTAAAACTTCAAATGTTTCTTAGGCTAAATTTCCATCTCACTGTAACATTCCTTTATACCCATCAAGCAGTATGTTCTTCTGATTGCTGATAACTGCATCATGGGTTTATAGTACACTACAGAATCTTAGACAAATGCCACTTCTCTTGAGCTTCCAGAAATAACATATATGTGTTAGCTTTCAACATAATCTGGATCAGGATGCAGTGAAAGAATGAAGGCTCTAGAGTTGGACCTTAGGTAAATCCTTTTTCCAGTTGTTTACTAGATAGGCTACCCCAGACCGGAAGTTACCTGATCATCATGAACCTAAGTTCTGCCTATAAACAAGTACCTAAAAGACTGGTCTTTGCAATGGTGGTATGATGGTCAAATTGTTCACAATGAACATGTTTAAGGCTCATTTGCTCTAGGACACCCTTTCTATTCCATATCTTTAATCTTTAGAAACCTCAAGTGAGAATACAGCTGCTGTGTAAGAGGCACACACCTGTAATCCCAGCACTGGGGAGGCTGAGACAAAAGGATCTCTGTGAGTTCAAGGCCAGCCTGGGCTACAAAGCACAGTCAAGGCCAGCCTGAACTGCATAATGAAACTCTGTCTCAAAATGGCACGAGAGGAGAGAGAGAGAAAGAGAGAGAGAGAGAGAGAAAGAGAGAGAGAGAGAAAATATGAATGAAAATGAATATTTCTTAGTCACATAATCTCTATTAGAGCACTTTAAATTTGGAATCCTGGATTTTATTTCAGGGTACTTAGACCCAGGTTTTTGGCAAGTCGTATTTCTGGAATTTAACTTTTGTCACAGCTTAGAAAAACGGTTAAAAGAAAGAAAAACTGAAAACCTTGTATTCATTTAAGATGGTTCATTTCATTTCATTAATCATTAATTCTTATGAGACAAGAGGCTATCTTATTGTTACTTCATTGTATATTTATCAACAAATTTCTCTCCTGCCTTGTAATTTCTTAAAATGAGATCACAAAACATATAAGGAAGCTGGGCACGGTGGCATATGCCTGTATTCCAACACTCTGGCAGGCTGAGGTAGGACGATTAAAAATTTAACCCCAGTGTAAGCAATTTAGTAACTTAGCAAGGCCATTTCAAAATAAAAAATATACAAAGGGCTAGGAATGTAGCTCAGTTAGCAAAGCCATGCATTCAACTACCCAGTATCACAAAAAAACAAAACAAACAGACAAAGCCAAAAGCACAGATATGGAAAAGTAATGTGAACATCTGGGTTAAATTTAAAGCAAAAAGAAAAGCTCAGCTTGAGGTAAAGGGGTCATCGTAAACACTGTATATGCCAGCATTTGTGAGATAAGAAAGAGGAAAGCAATTACCAAGAAATGTGTGTGTAAGATCACTGTCTACATATGTCTACAAAATGAGTACAGAGGCACTCGACTGTGAGTCAAAGTTGATTTAGACTTTCTAGCAATCATACCACAAAGATTATATTGGTCCCAAATCTTTTTACTTCTTTCATATATCTTTTTGATAAAAGAAAATTAATATATTCAGCTACTAAAAGAAGCTAGGGAAGAAACAGGGAGTATGAAAATTTCCTTATTTCCTTACTTGAAAACACAACTTTCCTGTGTTAGTAGTGGGCATGCTAACATACTTGTAGTAAAACCAGACAATTTCCAATTTTTGTTATGTTGGCAATGAAGTTAAACAAGAATATTTATTAATAGAATAAGACTAAGGTATTTAGTATAATTTTAACTTAGAAGAAATGTAAAATATCAAATGGAACTAGTACATTTAGGTCTCTCTAATGTAACTAAAGTGAATTGGCTGGATTTTTTTTTTACTTTAAAATGATAAGATACAATAAAGAAATGGACAACTAATAGCAGTCATGTTTTCCATTTTAAAGAACAAAATATGTACATTTTCTCTCGATGTACTGCTACAATCCCATGATTTGAAAATGAGGACAGGACAAATTTACTGTTCTATGGTTAAGCAGAGAATTAAAATTTGAAGACAGGTATCCCAACTGTTCTATCATCAAATTTTTAAATTATATCAAACTATCTGAATTAGAAGGACAAGCCATTTTTATTTTACTTATGTATCTATCAGCTCTGTTGATCCCATTTCCAGCTCTTCTAAAATGAAAAATAGAATTTGAGACAAGACACTTAAAAAGAATGGTCATGGATAGTCTTTTGGGGGACCATGAGAAAACAATTTTTTGGCAGCCCATGCTAATGTAATCCAATACAACCTATTCTGTTGCCAGTGTTAGACTCTAACCTAATCTCTTCCTTTATCCACTCTCCTGCCTCCCTAGTCTTCTGTTTCTCCTGATCTATTTTCTCCTTCAAATCCATCCCTTGTACATGCTTTCACGCTATTTTTAATAATCGTATTTTCTCCCCTATTGATTAGAAATATGTATCCCAAGGTTTCTGAGCAATGAAGTGCTTTTTATTAAATACAGATTACTGTCTCATACAAATTGAAGATGACACATAGAACTGAAGAGTCAAGATCACTTTTCCTTAGTTTATGTCTTCCAAGTAGGGCCACCTTACAATACAGCATAGAGGATCTTTATTTCTTTGTATCATAGGCTCAATTATAGCAATGCATTATTAATGATAAACAAAAATTAAATACTAAGAAAGTAATTAAAAAGCATAATCTGGAAAATTTTAATTATCATTTATTTTGATAATATTCTTGACAATTACTAAAACATTAGAGAACAATTTAGGAACTTAAAATCTAGCCTATGTATTTTAATGTACTGGCATTATTCTAATTTTTTCCTCCAAACTTTTTATACAATTAAAGCTTTATAAAGTTTTATTTAAATTCGTAAAACATTGAAATATCCTGAGTATATAAACAAAGAATTTAATTAGGAGAGTTTTAATCTTATAGTATGTGAAATTAACCTATAAAAAACAACAAATTCAAGAAAGCCATTTTAACTTACATAAACAACAAAGAATAAAAAAATAGGGTGTTATTTATCAGGATATGTTTAGGATTTGCCCTTCATTTAAAAATGGAAAAGACACCAAGAAACCACCGGCTTCATGATTCACACACTAGCCTTCTCACCTATTATAGAAAGCCGCTTTTTCCTCTCTCCTCCAAAAACTGTGTTATCCAAATCTTCTAGTGATGGCAAGGGCTCTAAGTTAGTAGCCTACAAAAGAAAAGGACAATTGACACTATTATTCTCCTATAAGGTGTTAAACAGAGTTCTTTCCACTACCAAATTCAATCTAGCTATTCTGTATTACTGGTGGGGCTTATCAATCTTCTATTCTTGTGAAATTAAATGCCGCCAGGCATAGCTGCCTGCTCTTATAATCCAGGAATTTGGAGACTGAGGTAGGAAGGTCACTTGAGCCCAGGAGTTAGAGGCCAGATGGGCAACAGGCAATAGTGAGACTGTCTTTAAAAAACCAGCAAACAAACAAAAGCCTTGTCAATCCTAACATAATTCTTCCCAAATGGTCAGTTTTATAGGAACATGTAACTTTGACTATGTGGTATTAAGGAACAAGGATATTAAATCACAGCAATTAAAATGTGTATGTACCACATTGAAAATATATCGACAATTATAGAATACAACTATTTCTTACAATGAATTTTAAAGGATACAACCTGTAATACTTAGAGGAAAAAAATGTCAATTCATACCTGTGTACTTCCATTTATTACAAGTAATATCTTTAGGCTCTTCATATGAATACTACGATCCAAGAGTTCCACAGCTCTGTCCAAGTCATCTTGAGTAGTTAATGGAATCACCAGCTAAAAGGGGGCACATGGGATTAACTTACAAGGTTAAATCCTGCCAGGAACATTTCTATTACTAGGGAGTTACAAATCTCATAATAGTCTTCTCTTTGACTATTTCTATAATTGAAGTCTGAATGAGTATATGCATCTACATTTTGCTATACCCATCCTACCACTGTTGAAATTTTAGAACAAATATGGGTAGTTAAAATGCTTGCTCTATTAATCATTACATTCCTTTAGTAGATATACTCAAAGATTAATCTGTTAGAATATTCCCATCATACAGCCAAATTTAAGTTACAGCATGTTCTCAAAACAACAGTGAGACACACACAAACTATATGAAATAAAGGTACAACTTCTCATCATACAGATAAAAAATCTTTCCCTAGTGTTAACCACAGATTTGTACTATCACTTGGTATATTTTTCAACATACCAAACCAAATCTTCAGCATGTATGAAATACCCTGCATGTATGTAGCAAAAGTGCAATCTATAGTCCACCTGGGGTTTACTTCCCTGACCCTGCTCACCAGACTACTATGCACTACACGAAGTAAGCTAAACAGGTCAGGCATCCCATGGTAAACTCAAATGTTGGATTCTGCTTTCATTGGTCCCATCATGGACAACATAAGAGGATAAAAGCACCTGGGAGAGATCAACGAGAAGTATATTTCACACAATTTAAGAAAATAAAAATATGTTTTATTAACAGCTTGGCATATATACATCTATAATTCCAGCACTGGGAGGCTGAGGCAGAAGGACTGCAAGTTCAAGCTGAGCATGGGCAATTTAGTGGCTTGGTAAGATTGCCTCAAAAAATAAAAAGAGTTTAGCTCAGGGCAAGGCCAGAGTTCTATCCCCAGAAACAAACAAACAAAAAGTCAGCCTTGTAGCTTAAGATGACACTGTTAATAACAAGAAAGTGTATTCTGTTTCATTTCAAGAGGGATACAATACAAACAAGTGAACAAATCCCATATCCCACACTTCTTAACCACCTCTTATAATCACAGAATATGAGCCATTTAAATATGAGACCAAGGTAGTCTGGGGTCCTCTACACTATAAAACCCTGAAGACAAGGACCTACACTCCAGCAGAACAGAGCAGAAAGCAGGCACACTACTTGGTACATATTTAATAAATATGGCCTACGATGAGAGCTCAACCTGCACCCAAACCCATGAGTGGGCAGTATGAAATCACTCTGCAGATATCTTTTTAAAAAAGTCATTCACTGTAAGCCTGCTAGGTATAAATACAAACTAGAATTAATATAAACTTTATCACATATATTTACTTGCTCTGTACTAAAAATTTTATTCCTAATTTGTTTGTACCTAATTGTACATTACTCTAAGTTATCTAAGTTATCTAAGCTGTTTCTTTCTCTGTGAGAGTATTTTTAACAGAAAGAATTACTGTTTGGTATCAAAGAATGAGTCTGATCTAATGATATGCATAATTAAATTCCTTTCACTTCACTATGAGCCATATTTATCTCCAGTGTTCTGCTTTTCATAGTCCTGATGTGATCCCTCCCATGTTCTCCTGTCACCTGATATAAACAGCAAAATAAAGACCATCACAAGGAAGTCTCAGGTTTTCTAAATTATACTAAATAATATATTAGGGAAAAGTTCTCTGCTTGATAATTCATTTTGGCCTCATTCATGAAATCTGAACTGTATGTTAATATAAACCCCTTCTGGTTTATATTTCTGGAAACTAAAAACTGAGATTAAGAACACATTCGACAGATCCTAAATTTTAAAAATGCACATTATCTTTATGACATACATTAGCAATATATGAAAACTGCCCATTTTTGTGTTCTCTTCAGCTAAAATAGGAAAGATCTTAGAAGATACTTCCTTTGCTGAACCGCTCCCTAGTCATCTCCCACAGCACAGAAACACAAACACTCTGACACACAGCCTGCACCTTATTAAACAAAAAAGAGCAAATCTAAAAAAAACCCAACCAGTTCCATTCTTAACACAATGCCACAAGCTTGAACCATCAGTGGGTATAAGACTGCCCCATCAGAGGCTTGTACTGCTGGTGGTACAAATGGATCTAATCACTTTTATTAGTCTTTTTACTACTAAAATTAGTTAAAAGTCTATCAATGGACTAAATCTAGTTAGTTTCTTGAATCTGAAAACTGCCCAAATACAAATATTAATTAGTACTATTCATGCCAATTAAAATATTATTACAATCATCAACTAATTTCAGGCCAAGGATTTAGCTCAGTGGTGTAAGCACTTGCCTGGCAAGCATGAGGTCATGAGTTTGATCCCCACTACCAAAAAAAAAAAAAAAAAAAAAAAAAAAAAAAAATTTCATTAAGAGAAACATTTATATTCATGAATTTCTTTAAAATATTTTATACATACATAAAGGAGGCTGATGTGTGCAGAGCATGCAAAATATCATATCACACTTGATTTTTTTTTTTACAGCCACAGTGGCACTCATTTTTTTCAGATAATTTTCATAACATTCTCTACTTCACTTGCATGTGCTTCTTGCCAATACTAAATAAGCTTCTATAAAGTGAATATTTCTCCAGTAATTTACACTTGTGGCATTTCTCAAGTTAATAATTTATCAATATTTAATTCTCTAAATTCTAACAGAAATCTTCATGAGTACCGCACTGCTGGTATATGTAATACACACTCACAATGGTTGTATCACAAATTAACTGCTCTGCAATTCTTTAATACCCTTTAATATTTTCCTTAAGAACTGTAATGTGATCAATGCCTCTCTTTGCTTTAGTATAATCAAAGACAGTCTGAGAAGTTGTACAAGCCACAAGGAGGAACAGTCACGTATCACCAGTGGTTTGAGCTAGAAGGGACAGTCAAATTCAACTGAATTCACATCAGAGGGACAACCCAGGAGTGAGACATACGAGTTACAGCCCCATGGAGAATGTATTAAAGTTCTTAGTTGTTTCATTCTGGTAAACTACATGTTCACAGAATAACAGTTCATTTTTTTTGGTGGGGGGGGGGTGGGGGGGTGGGGGGGGTTGAACTTACGACCTTGTGCTTGCCAGGCAGGCACTTAAAAATCCCCAGCACTAACAGTACATTTTGAACAAAGAAATTTACTTTGTATTAGAAAATAACACTTATAGAAGTGAAATAACTTCACTCTATGTGAGTATTTTGTTTGTCCACAGGTCCACAAAATATCACTTGTAAGATGTCCCTAGTACCAACAACACTGAAGGTCCTACCTTCGTTTTGCAATAATATGTCAAGATACAGATTAGGAATGTTTAACAAAATCACAAATTCTCAGAACTTCAGGGTTTCAGGAAGTCTTAAAAGTAATCTTGCTTTCATGCTACCTCTACCACATCCCTGCCAAGAGGCCATTCACATTTCATGGCATAACTGTACACAGAAATCCTTCAGAAACCATGAAAAAAATGGAGAAATTTCCAATGTTTACAAATTCAAAAAAGATTCTTAAATCTGCGGCTCAGTCAACTTGATGTCAATCCTCAAGAAATCACAGAAAAAAATTACAGAAACAATTGAACTGTGGAGGAAAGAAACGGCAATTATAGGACCTAGTATAGGTAATACAAATGTCAAACTAAACTCATTTTTCTTGACAGACCTAGTAGGCCAGTAGATCAAAATAAGGTTGTATTCTTAATGTATCTTGGCATGTGAAAGTTTTCCATGATAAACAATTTGAGCTTTAAAAATAAAAAAGATCACATCTTGGTTCTTTCAGAATCACACTGTGAGATAAGGATTCAAATTATTTCTATAGGAAAAGATGCTAGCAGACATTGGTAGGGGGATGTGAAACGGAAAGAAAGGAGTAGAGTATATTATCTACTAGCAAGCTATTACTCTGGAAAGTGAAAACCATCTCTCCCCACCAATTCCCATTCTCCACCTCCACACTCGTATAATATACATTAGCCCTGGGCATACATCTACAAAACCCCTCAGAATTTCAGGGACTAGTAGGTAGATATCACACTAGCACATACAAAATTCAGTGACAAAATAAGGTTGGACAACATATGTTACAATTAAATGAAACCTTAAAAAGTATTTGAACAATAAAGTTTCAGCTAGTATGGTGTACATAGTTGTAATCCCAGCACTCTGGGATTACAACACTCTGGGAGCCTGAGGCAGGGAAGTCAAATGTTCTATTTTAGGCTGGGTAATTTAGGGACTCAGTGAAACCCTGTCTCAAAAAATAAAAAGGGCTGGGGAAGTGGCTCAATATAAAGCTCCCAGTTTCAATCTCCAGTACACCCCCAATCAAAACATTACTAGTGTAGTAGTCATCATCCAGGATATGGATTTTACTTTATCATCTCTAAAGAGTCTCTTTAGACAACCACTGTTTGCTACATTACCATTTATGTTAGTTTTAAATTAAGCTATTAAAATGCAGTATTTTCCAACGTTTTCTTTTGCACAGGGCTTTACCATCTGCAAGGCACTTACTTTCATGGTTCTCCTCGCACTACATTTTCCTCAGCATCCCACTGCACTTCACCCCCACTTGGCCCTTAGCTAGAGACCTCTGTGCACATTGCTCTCAAGCTGCTCTCTCCCAGCAACAGTCATTTGCTTGAAACTCTCTGCAAGGCTGTACTCCTATTCAGTATAAATATCATCCTTCAGCTCTGTTTCCTTAGTACCATAACTAGGATGCCTACTGCTCTCACTTTCATGACCAACATTCTTCAAGCCTGTCCTTCAAATAATATATTTAAACAACGCGTTTATTAGTTGTCTGCTTTTACTACACATCTACATTGCCTACGCCATGAGGAGCTGTAACTCGTAAGTCACAGCATTAAGCCTGAAAAATGCAACAAACATTTTCTGAAAGTTAAACTAACCAATTAACTAAACTGTTCCTCAAGAACTACAGGAAATCTTGGAAACCACCTAACCCAATCCTGAAGACTAAAAAGGTGTTTCCCAAGAGCACAGAGCTCTTCAGTGTCAGAGAAAGCCCTTGAGATCACATAAGCATGACAATCTGATCATATCCCAACACTACAGGAATCCATTAAATCCTTTTTTAAATTATTATTATTACTATTCTTATTATTTGTATTTTTGAGAGAGGGTCTTGGTGGCCTTAGGCTCTTTATTCCCTATGGTGGTCTCAAACTTGCAAGGATTCTCCTATCTCAGTTTCCACGTGCTGGGATTACAGGAATGCACCAAAATGCCCGACTTTTCCATTAAATCTTGTTTAATTATCTGATTACCAAAATTCTGCTGTCTATAGCCAAGCACAGTATGAGAGGAAAAACTCATTCACAGATAAAGTATGTACAGGCTGGGCAGAGGCACATACTATAATCCCCAGCACTCAGAGGCTGAGGTAAGAGGACTGCCTCAAATTCCAGGCCAGATGTGGATGCACACAGCTCAAGGCCAGTATGAACATAACAAGATCCTGTCTCAAAAATCATCACAACAAAAAAGTATGTAGAGTAAAAACAAAACATAAAATTACAAGTAATTTACATATTTTCTCCTAGCATAAATTCTTATTCAACTATTTGTGTAGGTATCATCTACAAATATTTCCCATAAGGAAAAAAAAAACACTTTAATCAGTTACAATTTACAAATTTACCTGATATTTATTCATCTGATGTATACTTATCAATCACTAAATAAAAACACAACAGTCCTAAAACAGTCTCTTACATGAATACACTATTTTCCAAAATAAGGACACTAAAAGTTAAACTGTACATTTTACCTCATTATTGGTATAATGTAGATCCATAGACTGTCCAAAGGCAACTTTCGCTTTAGACTTCAGATCTTCTAGTTTAACCGGTCTGGGGAACTGAAGGATTCTATATAGACAAAATTTTAAAATACTTTATTTTCTTAGCTACAAACAATATATTTATAACAGTTCCACTTGTCAGATACGAAATTAAGTAAAAATTGTATATTCATTGTACATAATCAAATAGCTCATTTTTGATCAAGTGCACAATTTTTTCAACATAAAGTTTAGAAACTCTGAAGTATGTTCTATCCTAATAAATTTTGTTTTGTTTTGGTCTTTTCTTTTTGAAAAAGGATCTCATTATGCAGTTCAGGCAGGCCTTGAATTCACTTTGCAGCTCAGGCTAGCCTCAAACTCATAGCAATCCTCCTGCCTCAGGCTCCCAAGTGCTGAGATTACGGGCATGCACCACCACTCTCGGCTAAAAATTTTATAAAGAACAAAATTTCTGCAGCTTTTAATTTGCACTAAAAACTATGTAAGTGTTAAAAAAACAATGTAAAATGTCCACTGAAGAAAATGACTAAGCTTAAGTATATGACATGTGCAACAGAATGCAATGAAACTATTATGAAGAATAAAGTTGCTCTTTGGGGATTTCAATCTTGATTCCTGTATCCATACCACATCCACACTGATGAGCATACATATCACACAAGTATATCTCCAAAATAAATATTTTAAAGGAATTAAAATACTATTATTACAATGTGATTATTGTGTTTTCTTTCTCTTTTCCAGAAGACTGCTGCCTGGCTCCAGGCAGCACACTAAACCTTAGACACTACATTAAACCACAAGCTCCACAAAGGGAGAGCCCAGATCCACTTTGCTCACTAAATGACTTTGGGGTAGCATACAGTGAGTTCTTTAAAAATAACAGAGTCTCATGAAAGAATGTAGATTGGTTAATAGTTGTATGTCTAGTACACTGCATTTTTTCAACATCTCTGTATAAAGTTTAAATCTTTAAGTTGCATATTTCCAAGCCATTTTAAAGCCAAGTTTTTCTTAAATATGACACTTAATAGCAGAAATGAAACTCCATCCTAACTCCTATCATTCCTGCTAGCAATTTTATTGTCAACTACTAACATCACATCTACACTGATATTTAAATACCAATTAAGACAGGTTTACATTTCTGACAATGATTTGCAGATACTATTCCAACTTACCTTCCTAGACATTTCGAACAAAAATACATGAGAATACAATAAAATAATCAAAATTGTAAACATTAAATTCACATATAAATTCCATATAGTATCTGGAGGGATGACATAGTTTTAAGAATATATTTACCTTCCAATGAGTAAAAATTTTTTAAAATGTTAATATATAAAGGTTACATTATGCCATTACCTTACTTCCTAGTATTTCAAAGTAAAAACATTAATCATTTCTAATCTTTAGCCTGAATTTTAATACATTTTATCTTACAGTCTAATCACATGTTACCCTGACATGCTCAACTTATGAGCCATAAAGCTTCATTCAAATCTGTAAATAACCTTAAGGGTTTAAACAGAATATTCTTAAGTAGAATGTTTTATTAAATAAATTAGTTGGCATGTAATGTTTCCTTCCTTACCTTTTTTCTCCTCTATGTTCAAATTTGACACGGACATCATTCTGTAATGAAATGACAAATTTTCTGTATCAGTTTTTTCTAAGCTCCTCAGTTAATATAGAGCAGACAAGAAAGAAGATTTCATTTTCAATATCAACGCCAATTGAATGACAATGTCTGTCAAAACAGCAAGTTGAGAATTATGTTGCTAAATCTGAGCTCAACAGAAAAGAACACCAATATGTCTTAGTGAAGGTGTCAGGGGTATGAGACACTTGCTAACTCTGACAAAGCAAAATACTGACTACTATATCATGGTACACCCTCCCTATGGGGCAAATGTTCCAACACCACTCGGTACAGTTTTTTGTTCTTTCCTTATTAAATTAAGAATTTTTACCTCTTCTCTTAAAAGAAATTTTACAGTTTCTCTTTGGCATATCCAAATTGCCAGCATCACTACTTTCTGGGGCTATTATTAATAAAGTTTTTGAACACAAACACTTCAATATTTTAACTAATCTCGTAACTGAGGAAGCTACTAAGGTGGTCAACATGGTAGCATATACAGAATGGATATGATGCATAAAGGGACCATTCATACCCTAAGCAGGATAATATACAACAGCTGGAAATTTCATCACACTATTCACAAAGAAAGAAAATAAGTATGTATATATATATATATATATATCCCAAAAAATCCAGGTCTTCTTATGTAGTTCAGGCTAGTATAGACCAGGCAACCTTGAACTCACAATCCTTCTGCCTCAGCTTCCTGACTGCTAGGATTATAGGCATGTATCACCATGTCTAACTAAGATACACAATTTAAAACTTAGACTTATTTCTGAAATTTTCCCATCTAATATTTTCAAACTTCAATTGACCCTGGGTAAGTGAAATTGTGGAAAACGAAATCGCATGGGGGATAGGGGAGTACTACTATAATTCTATTTTTCATGCTAGATAGCCAAGACTCGTTTCATTTATAGGAATCAAAATCATCCTCATTTGTAAATATCTATGGTAGACTACTTGCGGAAAAACTGCTTAAGTACATAAAGAACGGATGAAATGTTAGTTTTAGCAGTCACAACATTAAAAACATTTTTTTAGAAATGCGTACTTATAAGAATATGTGGGCCAGGGAAACAGCTCAGCAGTACAAGTGCCTGCCTGGCAAGCCCCAGATCCTAACTTCAATTCCCAGGACAAAAAAAAAAAAAAACAGTGTTTCACAGAACATTTGGTTGAAAAGTATAAAAGCTAAATATATTGAACAAATCCCTCTATAAATCTGGATATTACAAGAAAACAACTCATATAACAAAATATATTACAATATTAATGAAACAAATACCTGTTTTTTTGGCGATGAAGATTTTGTTTTTCTGGTTTCCTGTAAGGATAATGCTGGTCTACTGGCCTTGTGAAGGACAGCCAAATCATGCATGATGGAGTTCAAAGCCTGCTGATCATCTAGATATTTTTGAAAGAGAATGCACACATAACTTTAATTTCAACGTATTTATCATAGACACTGAACAAAATTTATAATGGAATTTAATGTAAATGTGTTAACTTGGAAGATTTTCAATGCCTATTCTTTGGGCAACCTAACTTCTTTCTTTTCTGGCTTGGAGGATCACATAGTAGATAGGTACCCAGTAGGGAAATGTGAACTAACAAATCCACAAAAGATCAAGCATCGTATGAACACAGCCAAACTAGAGTAAGCACTGCTTATTCTTAAGACTGTTTCATGCTACTAAAATTCCCTATAGTGGTCACAGGGTACTAGGCAAAGTACATAATTATAAATGTCATGAAGATCATGAGTCAACCCATTAGGCAGAGAAGATCCCACTGGGCATATACATGGAAGCAGCAGTGGGTTTCTGACATATATTGGAAGACATACAATTTAATGCAAAATCAGAAAGTATTTTAGAGATAATTTCAAATAAAATATTTTATTAAAAATGCTCTTTTTATGCGGGAGGGGTATTTTTTGACAGGGTCCACTATGTAGGCCAAGCTGAGCCTGAACTCCCTATGCAGCCCAGGTTGGTCTCAAACTTGCATAGATCCTCCAGCCTCAGCCTCCTGAGTGCTGGATTTACAAGCATATACCACCATTCCTGGCTCAAAAATACTGAATTAGATACATCTTTTTTATTATACTTAAAAATAATATGCGAACCTTCTCAAAAAAAGTTCAAATATCTGTGATTCACACTTAAACAGTCATAGATTTTTGTGACTATTTTTGTATGTATTTTTAAGTAATGGCTATGCTTTGCTTATTACAGTGCAGTATTACTTGACAAAGACAACAGAAATCAATTTGATTAATATATAGCTTAGAATGCAAGTAACAACAAAAATAAGGCACACAATTTCAGCTACAGGTGAGGCTGATTACAGTGGTGAAACTGAACAACAAGAAGGCACTACATTTATCACTACAAATGAGAAAGTGAAAGGAATTTCAAAAGTAGGAAGGTGACACATTGCCTTGGAATGCTTGCTATAAGTACAGTACTTACACTGAGAGTATAATAGCCATTCCAAATAAAGAATATGGGCAAATTGAAGATTTTAAGCCTATGAGATCAGGTGTGCATGCATATGTTGTAAACAATGCAGTGTTATTTTTAAATAAGAGGTAGGAAAAAAGTGTGAAATAATTAAAATAAATAAAAATTAAATAAGAGGTAGGAATAAAAGTGTGAAAAGTGTAGGAAGGCAGGAATAAAGTGTGAAAAAACAAACTGGCACAAGTTAATTTAGCATACAAGTTCTTCTTCCATTTTTCCAATTTAGGATAGGGCAGGCACTTCTCGATTTCTTTCTAGTGTTTCCCTGTGTAATCCCTTCCTCACAATGGAATCATCAACACCAAGGGGGCGGGGGAACAAAATGACATATACAGTGAATATCCACAATCCAGTCCTATGCCTTCAAATTAAAATCATAATACCACAGGGTATTAACAAGGCTTATAAAACATTACTTCTGAGCATCAGTGATTTGTTGCTCTATTCTGCTATAAACTTTTATTTTTCTCTTATCATCAGACTCTAAACAAATCAAAATATATCTTCAATGTTTATTTGGAATGTTCTTACTTGTGTCCAAACAAGTACTACTAAGTGACTTAGCTGAAAATCAGTAAATGTAAAAGCATTATATAAATCTGCTATATCATAAAATTTCTTAAAAAGGCTGATCATAAATAACAGAAAATTTCTTCTCCCTCATTTTATCTTTTAATTATTACTAAAAATAACCATTTAATTTGAACTTACCCATCATGGCAATCAACTTGACAATTGGCAATTAAAAAAATGGTTCTGCTGTCAGCATTCTTTATTGCCTTAGGAGATAAAAAGACAAACATATAAATAATAAGATAGAAGAGGCGGCCATAAAAATAAAAAAAAAACTTGGTATAAATAACATAATGAGAGACAGACAGTAAAAATATTTTACATGTTTTTGGGGAAAAGAGGCACTTTATACGTGGCGGCTGATCATACAGACACTATTACCTAAAACACCAAATCCTAACTTCCAAAAGAAGAGCAGGTGTTCAGCACACACACAATACTTGTATAGAACTTAGGTAAACGAGCCATTATCAGTTATAAGAAAAGCTGGAAAGTATGCTGAAATACAATTGCTCACGTACCAGTCAAAGACTCTTCTTACAAGGTTAAAAACACAACTGCTTAGAACAATCCTTTCTAGGAATAAATATGACTGACATCTTAACTCTCGTGTATAAGCAGCAACAGGAAATGAATACACTGGTTTAAATGCATACACTGGTTAAAATGTACTAAATTATATAAAGTAATAATTAAAAACTGTTACTCGGCTTTCGATATGTGATATAATTTCTATAACAATAACACAAAGGAAAGAAGAAAAAGAATTGTATGTTTATATTCTTTTACAATTAAGTTGGTAGTAAATTAAGGTATAAACTGTTATCCTCGGATCAACCATAAAAAGTAAATTTAAAAGAGCAAAAGATACTAGAGAATTGAAATAGCACACCAAAAAATATTTACTTAGTACAAAAGGCAGCCATGGAGAAACAAACAAAAAGATATAATACACAAAGAACACAAAGAGAAAATGGCATATCTGACCCTTTATAAGTTACTGCAGTAAATATAAATGGAACCAGCCAACCAATTAAAAAGTGAAGACTAACACTATAAATTAAGAACTTATTTCAACTATATGTTGTTAATAACACACTTCAGATTCAAAGAGAGAATAAATTTTAAGTGAAAAGATGGAAAAAATAAATTACACAACAGTAGCCAAAAGAATCCTGAAGTGGTTGTACTAATATCAGACAGAATAGAATATAATAGTTATAATCTAACAAGCCCCAAGATATATGAAGTAAAAAGTGACAAAAGTTAAAGAAGAAATATACAATTCAAATACTGCATAGGAAGTGGAGACTTCAGCACCTCATTTTCAATAGATAAAACAGTGAAGACAGAAAATGAGTAAAGAAACAGATTTGCATAATACTAAAAAACTACTGGGTGTAATAGACATCTACGTAATATTCGACACCAAAACATGAGAATAAACATTATTCCCAAATGTACACAGAACATTTTAAAGACAAACCATCCTCTAGGCAATAGAACAAATCTCAATAAACAGACTGCCATCACCCAAAGTGGTTTCTCCAGCAACAATGCAGTGAAATTAAAAATTGGTAACAGAAGAAAACTCTGGGAATTCAAAAATATGTGAAAACTAAACTAACATAATCAAATAGCACCAATAGATCAAAAAGTAATGGAGAGACTTGAAAATACTTTTGAGATAAATGTGAATGAAAATTACAACAAGCCCCAAACTAAATGGATACTTTTTTAAAGTACAGATAAATTTATAACTGTAAACGTCTATTTTAAAAATCTCAAGAGTAGAAAAAGAAATTTTTGTTTTGGTTTGGTTTGGTTCTTTAAGATAGGCTCTTGCTTTGTATACAAGCTGGCCTTGGACTCATACTGTAGTTCAGGCTGGTCTCAAACTCATGGCAATCCTCCTGCCTCAGCCTCCCAAGTGCTGGGATTACAGGTGTGTGCCAACACACCTGGCTTAAAGAAAAGTAATTTAAAAAGAAAGCGAATTAAAGAAAGGAAACAATAGAGTTGAGTGGAAATATGTAGAAAATAAAAAAGCACAGAAACAAAAATTACTTTATTATTATTATTATTATTTAAAGAGAAAGAAACAAAAAATGGAAAAAAAGGGTAGAAATAATACAAAATTACAGAAAAAGAAACAGTAAGAAATCACTAGTTGATAAGTTACATATTGTCATCTTAGAAATAATTGTTCAGGTTACAAAATTAAAGCATATAAAGTGACATTCAAATAGTGACACCGCCAACAGTTCTGCTCAATGATCCAACAAAAATTTAGTAATATGGTTATAAGTCCTACACACTTGTTTTTTATCTTAAAGAGGCTAAGATTAAACATATCAAAACAGAACAAAACAGTTCATAAAGAAAAAATTTAAGGGGGCTGGGGATTTAGCTCAGCAGCATAAGTGCCTGCCTTGTAAGCAGGTAGTCGTGAGTTCAATCCCCAGACGGATAAAAAGGAAAAAGATTAAAAAAAAAAAAAAAAAAGAAAGAAAAAGAAAAAAAATTTAAAGAAATACAGATTTCAAAGCAAGTCCAATGGAGATCTTCACTGTCTATCTTATTGTCTCTAGTTTTCTTCCAAATAGTTGTCCCCATCTTCGCATACATTGAATACATACTGCATATTATAGAACTAATCAAATCATTACAGGATGATGAAGGCTTTTTAGGTCTTCAAGATCTGACATTGGGGAAGTCAATAATGACTACCACAATGTCTCTCATCCTCTTCGTAGTAGCTGTCTTTATCTTTATGTATGCTGAAATTGAACTTAAAGAGACTAGACTAATATCACTCTGAACAGTGAATAATAGTATTGCTAGATTTTATATCATAATGTTACAGAATTAGCATTGGGTTTCTTAGTGTCTCTTCTTCAGAGTATCTGTTCATTACATCTTGTATTATATAATCTATTCCCATAAATAGTTTAAAAAATTCTTCTCATGTGTGAATTTCTACATATATACCTATCCTTTCTGTATTATAGGGAAAAACAGATCATAACAAGACAACAAAACAAATTCCTAGAAAAACATGCAATGAAAAAGACACATAAGACCACAATATTAGGTGATCTACCATAGTTATTATGCTTTCTCTTGTTATTTTCAATAGACTTGTCCACATCATCAGGCTTAATACAGTTAAGCATAGCATTACATAGCTATTTTTATAAAAACACAACTTTGAAAACATTGTAGGACTTGAAAGCGGATAATAATCAAAACCGGTATGGATATCTTTTACATCTTGTCATCTTCAAAGTAGTTGCCTCTGCTTTTAGACTTGATACTATCAAGCATACCAAACTCAAATAAAACCAGCCAAGGCAAAACCACAGTCTAACAAACGAGACTCAAGTAACATCAGTCATAGTAAGACAATGTAATAATACAGGGAGGGTTTCAGTTTAAGTTAATAAACTAAGGATAGTTACTATGGTATAACCTGCTATTTTGGGGTTAGATATCTGTGCCCTCAAATCTGATATGAGTGGACAGACTGAAACAAAATAAAATCAAACTAAACAGAGCGATCAGACTACTGTGACTTTTAAATCCTGATACACTATTAACAATGACCTCTGCCTTCCTTTTTTAGGCTATTTTTCACCTTTCTCTTTCTCAGGATGCTTTGTATGTTTTGGGTCTCACTAGCCTCTTTAGTTTTTAGATTAGGGGGCCAGCCCGTTGTCTATCTGAGTGTTGCTGAACCTTTCTACCCCTGAGCTTGATCTTGAGCTATATTCCTTTACTCACTAAAGTGATACAGTTTTTCTTCCTTTCAGCTGTGTAGTTCTACACTGCCCAAAAGTGTCACAGCTTTCCAATCTATCTGCGGCTGCTGGATGAGTTGTCCCTATTTCTCTCTGGTTTCCTGTCACATATAGCTTTGCTTTCTCGTCTTTGACTTTTAGTTTACTAACCCTCCTTTGGGTTGAGTGTATTTCCCATTCAGAGCCTCGCGATAAAGCCTGCCTCCTAATCTACTCTGCCTGGTTTTTTTTTTTTTTTTTTTTTTTTTTTAGTGTATCAAGGCTATCTATATTAAAGATTATAGCTTACCGTCTCTGCCTCATGACTGCTACTCCACTTTACTGCTATAATTTGTCTACTTTACTCCGTCATTCCACTGTCTGCCCCATTCATTAAGGCCTCTTTGCCACTGTTGCTGGAATCTTGGTATCCCTTCCTCTCTCTCTCTGGAATGTCCTTCAGCATTCTTTGTAGGGTTGGGTTGGTGGCCATGAACTCCCACAGTTCCTCCTTGTCTTGGAAACATCTTATTTCTCCATTAATTTTGAGAGAGAGTTTTTCAATATGGGTTGGAGGTTATTTTCTTTCAGGGCTTGGACTATTTCCCCCCAGGTTCTTCTCGATGTGAGAGTTTGTGTTGATAAGTCTGCTGTTATTGTGATAATTTTTCTGTTGTAGGTAATCTGCTTCTTTTCCCTGGCTGCTTTTAGTATTCTGTTCTTTTGGTCGATTTCTGGAATTTTGATTATTATATGTCTGGGTGTTTTGGTTGTAGGTGGTTGGAGTTCTGTATGCTTCATTTATCTGGATATCATTTCTTTTTCCTATGCTTGGGAAGTTTTCCTTTAATATATCTGTGAATATTCTTTGTAGTTGATTTTTAATTACTCCTTATTCCTCACTCACATGCTTTATTCTTAAGTTATGTATCCTTTTGTTGTCTTCTAGCCTTTGAATTCTTTCTGGTACCTCGTTATTTTTAAGAGGTATTTTCTTTCATGATCATATATCATAAATCTCTCTTCAAGTTTCAAAAGGCTAACTTTAGTTTCTGTCAAGGCATTTTGCCAGTTTTCAATGGAGTTTTTAGTTTCCTGGTAATCTCTCTGGATCTGTTTCATGTATTCTAGGTTATGTTTAAATTCTTCATCAAAGGTTTGTCTTTCTTTTTTGATTTTTTCCATTCTTCCATCTGTGTTCTCTTGGGAGGGGCTTATCATTTCTTTAATTATCTTTTTATATCTTGCCTCACTTGGATCAGAAGTACAGTTTTAAATTCATCCATGAGGTCATGAAGGTATTTCTTTATATCAGCTGATGCTGTATCTAGTACTAGATGGTTACTGCACTGGTTCTCTTCTGTATTTACTTCTTCTGGGCTTATTTTCCCAGGTTTGGCAGCTGGAATTTTTTTTTAAATTTCTAT